ACCTGACCGGACGCGGGGACAGGAGGAGACTCAACGGTCAGGGTGTATAGGCTCGACCCCGGCCGACGCGAGAACGTGGCCAGGTGCCGGCCTGTGCGTGCGTCCGTGCAGTGGGTCACCCGCTGACTCGCAGGAGTGAACTGGTGAACCCCCGCATCCTGTAGGTCTGCACCACTCACCAAGTTCGTCGAGAACGAGGGGAGGTACAGGCCAGACAGGGTGCCCGAGGGGGCAGCCGGACACGGGAGGACAGTGGAGAAGTGAGCGAGGACAGGACCCCCAGAGGGGTCAGCCAGGGAGACTGCAACCGGCCGACCAAGCGGCGTGAGTGTGGTGCGGTCCCGAAAGAAGGAGCGAGAAGCCCCAGAGTCAAGTGTAAAGGTGAGGGAGGCCGAAGCCAACGCGGTGCCTGAGAGCGCAGCCTCACCCGCACCTGAGGAAGCAGACTCACTAGCACCTAGAGCAGCAGCCGCACCTGTACCTGGAGCAGGAGACTCACTAGCACCCAGAGCAGCAGCCTCACCAGTAGCTAGAGCAGCAGGTCCTATACCTGGGTCAGGCGGGACGCACAGGTGACCTGCACGGTCAGCACTAGTAGGCAATGCATACATGGCAGTGAGAATAGCATCATAGTCAAGAGCATATATATCTACCCTCTGCCTAAGCAACTCCACCCAGTCGGGAAGCTCAGCCTCGTCGCCAAACACGGTACGCCAGGCGTCGCTCAGACGGGCGAAGCAGCGGGACGGTGTATGACTACGTGTCCCACAAGGCTGACCAGTCCGAGTACCAGTGCGAATCACGTAAGAGCAGCGAACAGCACTGAGAGGCCCTCTACTCTGAGCGTACCACTCACGAAGCTGGCGAGGCGTGAGAGACACGCGAGAGGGTCGCGGGAGCTGCATCTGGCCGCCTCCACGAGTAGAAGCAGCAGGAGTGGTAGTAGGAGTAGCGTCGCCACCCCTACAGCCCCAACCAGCGTACCACTCACGCAGCTGCTGCGGCGTGAGGGACTCACGCCGGCGTCGCTGGGGCTGCATTTGGCTCCGCAAGTAGAAGCAGGAGCAGGACTAGCAGCAGGGAGGCAGGCAGCCAGGCAAGCCAAAAGGCAGGCAGGCAGGCAAGCAGGCGACGCGCAGCGTGCTAGCAGGGCAAGAGCTCACCAGTGGTGGGAAGAGTAGGTTCGGCGACTCAGCGGCTCAGCAGCTCGGCGGCTCGGCGGCTCGGGCGACTGGGCGGCTCGGCAGCAACTGCAGCTCAGCAGCTCAGCGACCCGGCGGCTCGGCGGCAGGGCGGCTCGGCTGTGGGGCGGCTCGGCTGCTGCAGTGGGAGATGAAGGAGGAGGAGAAGCAGGGGAGGCCACACACCTGCCACCCCTCTGCTGGCCTCTCCCGTCGCCTGTCGAGGCGACCTGAGGGGGCCGCTTGCGGCCCCCGAAGGAGCCGCGACGGGCGACGGGAAAAGGGGGGGTGGGTGGTGGGGGGGCCGGTAGGTGCAGCGGCGGGGCCAGCAGGTGCAGTTGCGGGGCCGGTAGAAGGGGACGGCAGGAGCCGTCAGGAGGGGACGGCGGGGCCGTCAGGAAGGGACGGCGGGGCCGTCACGAAGGGACGGCGGGGCCGTCAGGAGGTGACCGGGCCGCGACGGGGGCAGGCGGCGGGGCCGCGTAAGGGCCTGGGCGGGGCCGCGACAGAGCCGTCGGCGGGGCCGCGTGAAAGCCGGGGCGGGGCCGCGTAGAAGCCGGGGCGGGGCCGCGCGAGAGCAGGCGGCGGGGCCGCGAAGGAGCCGGGGCGGGGCCGCGTGAGAGCAGGCGGCGGAGCCGCGTAAGGGCCTGGGCGGGGCCGCGACAAAGCCGTCGGCGGGGCCACGTGAAAGCCGGGGCGGGGCCGCGTAGAAGCCGGGGCGGGGCCGCGCGAGAGCAGGCGGCGGGGCCGCGAAGGAGCCGGGGCGGGGCCGCGTGAGAGCAGGCGGCGGAGCCGCGTAAGGGCCTGGGCGGGGCCGCGACAAAGCCGTCGGCGGGGCCGCGTGAAGGCCGGGGCGGGGCCGCGTAGAAGCCGGGGCGGGGCCGCGCGAGAGCAGGCGGCGGGGCCGCGAAGGAGCCGGGGCGGGGCCGCGTGAGAGCAGGCGGCGGGGCCGCGACAGAGAGGGCGGCGGGGCCGCGTCAGTGAAGGCGGCGGGGCCGCAGGGGAAATGGCGACCCGAGGGGTCGCTAAAAAAAAGATCGCGCCTCGGGGGGCGCTTCGGTGGGCCCAAAAAAACGGTCCGTAGAAGGACCCGCTCTATACCATGTGAGAATAAGCGAACAGGAATGAATGAACTAGCAGTGAAATCAGTACAAGTAGGAAACCCTAGAATTGTGTACCCCCTATAGGCTAACCCACTGTAGCCTACACAAGCATAACATATATAATGTTTGACACAAGTATCTTTCCCGGATGGTTCACTTTGAGCAATGGCGGCGTACGTCGGATTCGGTTGAAGAGACTCGCGGCGAGGCGTGCTGTTGTCAAGTTGTTCTTCGGGTGAGTAGTACGGTGGTGACTCGGTTGTGCAGGAGTCGGTTATCTTTACCATGCAGTTGACGATATTCCTTGGTTTTTGCGCAGGTTGTCCTGTTGGAGTCGTTGAAGCTTGGACTGAAGTTGTTGGGGCTGCTTGCGTCGAGGTGACTTGGCCGCTCGAAGGTCGGAGTTCTCGCTGTGGTGCTATCGATTGATGATGATACGGGCAGTGAGTGCGAGGATGTCCTGAAGTCTTGCAGATATGGCAAAAAGGAGGTACTGGCTTCGGTTGTTGTTGCTGTCGAGTGTTGCTATTGTTGTAGCGTCGCTGGGTGTGAAAGGCGAATTCTGGTACTGATGCCTTTTTCTTATGTCGTTCTTCTTGTAGGTCCATATCCTGCTGCTCGGCGTGGATTTCGGCGCAGAGTGCCGCTTCGGAGATTCTTCCGTGTGCTCGTAATATGGCGCGAGTGGAGCGCCAGTGAGGGCCGAGACCGCCGATGACGACCGTGACGAAGGCGTCTTCTGAAATTGAACCTCCACATCGAAGGAGCCTGTCGCGCAGCTCGCGGCAGCGACTGATATACTCCATGCCTTTCTCGCCTGGCTTCATTTCGATTGTTGTCAGCTGCGCCATTAACCGGCTTTGGTTTACACTGTCTGTTGCTTGATACAGGTTCTTCAGGTGGTTGTACGCGAGCTCCGCGGAGTTGCCGTAGCCTCGGTAAGGCCTGATGTTCTGCTGTTGGGTCGGGGTAATGTTCCTCAGTAGTATAGTGTACGCCATCATTGATTGATAAGTATACTGCTGCTTCTCATACTGTGTGCCGTTTGTTGGATATGGCAGGGACCCCTCGAAGAAGCCAAGGATTTGCGCTCCTTCCATCATCAGCTCGAATTCGAAAAGACCAGGTGAAGAAGTTTTTTCCGTCAAAGGGCTTTGTCGTTTGCAGCTTTAAAACGTGCGCGAATTGCGACTGAACTTGTAATGCGTCCAGTGCTCTCTCTTGTCCCGGTGCAGGTTGTGGTTGCGGCATAAAGCTGACGGAGCCACGCTGGGGCTCGTACGGAGCAAAGGTGGGTTGTTGATGTTGATTCCCGCGCGCGTAGGATGAGCCATCGAGACTCATAGGTGTCGCGTTGTTGTTGTTGTTGCTGTTGTTTGATTGCGCAGGTGCTCCTTGCTGGTGTTGCTCGTAGAAGGACATGAAGGAGAAAAATTTCTCCATCATGCTTGGATCGAAGCCCGCGCCTTGGTTTGCGGGTGTTTCCGTAGACCTAGCTGCTGGTCTCGTCGTTTTCCCCTCCTTTATCAGTAGGCCAGAGGCAGGTGGTGGAGTAGGGGTAGTACCGGGAGAGCCGTTGGAGGAGCTCCTCTCCTTTCTAGCAGACATGTCTTCTTTGATGTACTGAGTGTTGAATAATGAATTTTAACTCTAACTGCTCTCATACCATGTTGGGCTGAAACGCCCTAGGATCTTTGTAGAGTTAAAGTCTGAGTAGATGTTGTAATAGCGGAAGCGTTGAATAAAGCTCTTGAACCACCTTGCGCTAGTATGTGAGGGCAAAGTAAGTTGATAAAAAGCAAAGAGATACAAGAATATAAATAGATGAGTACAGAGAATATGAAGAGACATTATAACTAATTTTACTGTTGCGGTTCGATACAGTGCGACTCGGGCAACTGCTCAATGTCGAGTCAGTTGTTTGTCCTTGCTGTCGCGCTGCGTCAGGTCAAAGGTCGCTGCCCTTTGACTTTCCCGTAACCTCCGACGGTTACGTTAACCTCGTTGGTTGACTCGCGCTGCTTCGACTTGAGCTGCTTCGTTTTGTGTCTTGAGTACTGACACGACAGAGGCGCTTAACTTATTTGTTCCCAACAACACTCACCCATGCTACACTCTTCTTCAAACACTACCTTGTAATCTGTACTCATCTAAAGCGTGGGTCTTATGACCGTAATTGATCGAGATCACATCAAATGACACCAAATAAACTGCAGGTACGAAGTCTCCAGAAACCAGCATGATACCAATTGCACGGTATTCAGAGCTTTGACTCAATAAAGATCCGTGATTCTGGCGGAACACTTTTGTCCGCGCCATTGTCCTGCCTGTGCACTCCTAGCTTCAACCACCACCAACAAACCACAGCAAATCACAGAATGGCAATGCCCCTTCGCAGCGATGATCAGCACAAAGCATGAAGCCATAGCTTGCCCTCATACCTTCCACATTCCATGTTTCACGAAGCTAAGCACTGGTGAGCAAGCCACTGTAATTCCAAGACCCCTAAAAGTTCGTCTCGCTGTAACCAAATGCGCCGTGCCGTGCCGTCCCAGGCGCTGATACAATCCCCCTTCGTTGAGTCAACGTTCGTGGTAGTACGGAATTTTGCACCCTCGCCCGTTTTTCTTGCCTAAATTAACCGACCGCCGACATAGCCTCAAGAGAAACCCTTTACCGTCCTTCAGTGCGGCGCCGTGCCCATCCATCGCCCGCCATGCACCTCCTCTTCGGCGCCGGTAGTCGCTCCTACCGCCACCCGTCAACGCCGCGATCCCGCCGCCATCCCACGACTCCGCGCGTGCTTCACGCGCCCCCGCAACAGCGACCCTTCGCCGCCACGGTCATGCTCGTGGCGCTCGCGCTGCTCGCGGCGTGCGTCGCGCTGCGGCCCGACCAGATGCTGAGAAGATTCACGAACCGCGGTTGCCCCGCTGCGTCCAGCCTGGCCGAATACGACCTCGTTCTGATCGCCGAGGTGCGTGCGACGCCTCTGTCGCCCGCTGTGTCGCCCACCGTGTCGCCGATTTGCCTACCCTGGTCGTAATTGTTGGAACGTTTCCTCGCCTCCTCCCCCCCCCCCCCAACACAATCAACCATTCCCCTTATTTTGTTCTCCTTCTCTCGCACCTTCCGCACAATTTCCCTCCCCTCTTCGCTTCCCCCTTCTTCCTGTTCGCACTTAGCTCTCACAATCCTTCCGCCCTCGCTCCGTCTCCCTGCACACGAAGCACCTCCCTGCACCCACACCCTTCTCCCTCGCCACTCCCTCTCCCCCTCTCCCCTCCCCCCTCCCATACCCTCCTCCCTCCTCTCCCCTCCCCTCCCCTCCCCTCCCCTCCCCATTCCCCCCTCCCCTCTCCCCCCAGGGCAGCATGGCAGCGCGGGTGGTGGCGTTGTGCGGAATGGAGGCGCTGGCAGTGGCGGCGGGGTTCTCGCTCAAGGTGCTCTGGCTCACAGACGCGCCCGTGCACGCCGCTCCCTTCCCCTCGCTCTTCTCCCTCCCCGCCCACCCCAAGATCTCCAAACCCGACCTTCGGTGAGTGACTGTGCGTGGGGAAAGTGGATGGTAAGGAAGGGTGGATGGGGAGGAGGGGGGAGGGGGGGAGGGGGTGGGTGGGGTTTGGAATGGGTGGGCTGTTGTGGGCCTCTCTGCGTGCCTCGACTCGAGGTAATCAATGCAGCTCTAGTTTGCTGCTACCACCTGCCCTTCCGCAAGCATTTCTCCCTCCCCCATCCCTCTCCTTCTCTCGCCCGCTCGCTCACTGTCACTGTCACTCACGTTTCCCCACTTTCTCTCCCTGTTACTCCCTCTCCCTCTTCCTGCAACCCCCGTTCGGCTTATCCCCCTGTTCCCGTGACCCACTTGTCTGTTCTCTTTCTTACCCACTCCTTTCCTTCCCACGGCTCCCATCCCGGCGGGGCATCAGGTGGGCAGTGGAAGACGTATCGCCCGAGTGTGTGGCAGGGCCGCTGCTGCAGTCGCCACCACACGGCTTCAGATACAAAGCAGTAAGGCCCCTGGGGACTGAATGCATGAATGCATGCTGTGCTGTGCAGGACAGTAGGTTGCTGCCGATGCTCAGGACATAGGTCGCCCTGTTATGCCCAGTCTCTCCAGTTTGCGTTGCAATCACCCCATGCTCCTTTCTCTCCTCCGTTCCTCCCGCCGCTGCTTCCCTCTCCTCCTTCGCTTCGCCCCCCCTTCCTCCTTCCCTCCCCGCTCCTCCGCTGCCCACCCAGGTGTCAGTGGGGGACTGTGGGGCGGCGACAGGAGTGGGAGGCAGTGCAGCAAGCGGGGTGTTCCGCATGCCGGTCAGGCTGCTTGTGTCCACTCGAGCCAGCACATGGGATGGATGGGTATGAATGAACCGGGCTGCGGGCCAAGGGATGGGTGGGACAGAGCAGTGCAGCGACTGGGGTGTTCCGCATGCCCATCAGACCGCTCGTGTCCACTCGAGCCAGCACGTGGGATGGATGGGTGGGTGGTACAATACAAGGCAGGCCGCAGGAGAAGGAATGGGTGGGGCAGGGGAGGGCAGTGCATGAAGTGGGTGGATGTATGACGAGGCAAGGTGTGCGTCGCAGGGGGGGTTGAGGGAGCGGGACTGAGGGAGCACTACACGCTTCTGAATTTCCCTTCTTTCGGTGCATCTGTTTCACTTCCTCCCGCCCCTCACGTGCTTCCGTCCCTCCTTGCCACCACCACAATCCTCCCCTGCTCGCGCCCACCCTAGCTGCTTGCCCCCCTCCTTCCCCCTGCTCGCGCCCACCCTAGCTGCTTGCCCCCCTCCTTCCCCCTGCTCGCGCCCACCCCCCCGCTCCCCTGCATGCGCCCACCCTCCGCCGCGTGCGCCCATCAGGCGGACGACCCGTGTTGGATGGCGGACGAGTTGGCAGCATGTCTGCACTCGCTGCATCCCTCACCAGCCGTGGCACGCCTGCTAGCAGCAGAGGACATTCCACGTGTGCGCCGCTCCACTGCGGCTTTCCTCGAGGTGCTCTGCTTCTTTCCATGATGTGCCATGATAATCAACATGCCATTCAGCTCACCGGCTTCTCTCTCACCTTGGCTTACCTGCGTCGAGGAGCATTACACCTGCTGCTGCCTTCTACCACTTGCACAAACCACCTGCAGACATCACAAGCACATCTTTTTTTTCTATTAAATTTCCTTCTTCCTGCTTCCGCCTCCCTTTCCCGGCTTCCCCTTCCCGATCCCGACCCCCGTCCTCAACCCCTCGTCCTGATCCCTCTCCCCTCCGCATGCCAGGACACCCCTCTGGACACCTGCACCGGCTGCCCCGCCAACATATCTCAGATCATCCTGCCCTTCTGCGAGGTTTGCAACACGCGCCGCTTCTCCCACTCCCTCGCCGCCTGCACGGCCCGCCGCCTCGCCTACGACTTCCTGCGGGACCCGTCCCTCGACTTCACCATTGCATCTGCTCTGCCCTCCGCTGCTGCCGCCGCGGTGGGCATGTTCCATGCGTCGCGCGAGCCGCTGCTGCTGGAGAGCAGCAGGCGGAGGGCGCAGCTGCAGTGCTTGGGGAGTGGTGTGAGACGGAGAGGGGTGGCGGAAGATGGGGGGATGGTGGGGGGGGGCAGGAGGGCGGAGTGTGCTGAGCTTGAGGTGAGCCGCTTGCTCTTATTTGTTTTTTATTCATTTGAAATTCTCAGAATTGTTTGAAAATCGAGAAGCAGGCCTGGATGTGTGGGAATAAAGGGTGCAAGCTAGTCAATGAGTGAGCGATACAAGCACTCACCCCTCAAATACTTCCTCGACTCTCAAAGCCCACACAAGCAATCCCTCCCTCCTCGTTTCCCATCCCATCCCTTCATCTTCATTTCTCCCCCTCCTCCTCCCACAGGTGACGGAGTTCCTAGCGCTATCACACGCGCCCGCGTTCTTCTCATCAGTGCCGCTGTCCCCAGAGGCGGAGCTCATCACAGGGCTCGCCACCGCCCTGCGCGGGGCAGCCGGCCCGCCCTTCCGCCAGGCGCCCGTGTGCACGTCCCCCAAGCTCTTCCCCCTCGCCAGCCTGCGCTTCGCCTACCAGATGATCGTCGATGGTGCGACACCGGGATGGGGGTTAGGGGGAAGGAGGGGTGGACTTTTGAGACGTCTCGAAAGTCTTACCAGATGATCGTGGATGGTGCGACGCGGGGATGGGGGAAGGAAGAGGGGGGAGGGGGAATGGGGGAGGAGTGCGGCTGAGGGAAGGGGAGTGACGAAGGGGAGGGATGGGGGAAGGGATGGTGGGAGAGAGTGGAGAGAGAGAGTGTCAGCATTTGCTGCTGCTGCTACTGCTGGGCGCCACTGATCCTGCCTTTTTTCTGGCTAACACTTCATAAAGATGGAAGTGCCTTGCACTCATTCCACCCTTCTACCACCCTCTCTTCCCGCCTCCTCCCCTTCGTCACGCCCCTCCCCACTCCCTCTCCCTCCCACTTCCCCTCCTCCTCCCCATTTCCCCCCCCCCACCCCGCAACCACCTCTCCACCCTGCCCCTCCCACAGAGCACCTGGGGTTGATATACTGCTTCGTGGAGAAAGTAGCGTGCACGAGCTGGAAGATGTGGCTGCGCGCCGCACACGGCTTCAGCAACCTCACGGACTACAACTACACGCACCATGCGCACCTCAATGGGCTCACACTCATGTACCGGGATCTAGACGAGGACGATGCTATTCGGCAGCTGACCCGGAGGGACCTGGTGAAGTTTGTGTTCGTGCGGAATCCGTTTTCGCGGCTGCTGAGCGCGCATGCGGATAAGCTGGTGAATGGCGGGGAGAAGCACAATGTGACGCTGTGGAACCATGTGAGTGGGCCAGAGGGGAGGGGGTTTGTAGGAGGTTAGAGGTGTGGGGGAGGGAGGCGTGGGGCGGGGAGAGAGGGGAGGGGGTTTAGGGGTCGGTTTTGGGGAAGTGGGGTGATGTGAGATGGCAAAGATATCTTCGAAGTCGGTCATTTGGGCAGGAAGGATGGTACGGATAGTGCAGGTGGGCAGATGAGGGGTTTGAACTTCAAGCGCTGAAGTGGTGAACAACGTCAAGACAGCAAGTACGCAGACACAACGACGGTTCTGAGTGATGCAGGTGGCCTTCCTTTGACGGTTTCCAGACACCATCTCTCTCCCTCCAGCACCGTCAATCATCCTTTCCTCCCTCCTCCCTCCCTTGCACCTGCACCTCTCCCTCCTCTACCCTTGCCCTATCACCTCCTCCAGCGGATATTTGGGCGGGAGCGGCTGGAGCAGCATGGGGAGAGGGTGGATGTGCCAGTGGGGTTCAAGGCAGCAGTGCGCATGGTGGCGGATATAGTGCGCGAGACAGGGGGCAATGGGGATGCTCACATCGCCACTCAGGTAACACACACACGCACACACACGCACCTATGTACGCACGTACATCTCTCTACCTGGATTTTCCACACGCTGCACTGTCCGTGACACCCTAACCTCATCTCATGCTTCCCATCCTCTCCCACCCGCCCACCCGCCCACTGCCCTTTGGCCCTTGTCTTGCCCCATGGCAGGCGCAGCTGTGTGGGCTGCACATGATCCGCTACGACGAGGTGGGGCGCTTTGAGACTCTGCACGACGACGTTGAGCGCGTGGTCACGCGCCTCAATCGCTCCCACGTGGACCCTGCACACATCTTCAAGCTTGGGTCACAGATCCACAAGACTCGTGCAGAGCAGAGGATGCGCGCTGCCTACGATAAGGTACCGCCATGGGGCGGAAGGGGGAGGGGAGGGGGGGTGGGGGCATGGTGTGCAGTTGGTTGGGAGGGGTGCTCTTTGGAGTTTTCTTATTGCTGCTGCTCTGTTGTGTTGTATCTGTTTTGTGCTGTTAGGTGTTTTTTTTCGGCACCATGTGGGTAGTGTACTGATGTTTGGAATGATTGGCATGATGTGCGCGTTCTGTGGCAGGAGACGATTGAGATTGTGAGGCAAGCGTATGCTGCGGATTTTCATGTTCCATTGAACCACATAGACTACGACATTCCAGATGTGCTGCGAGACATAGCAGAAGCTAAGGAAGAGGGGGCACATACAGGAGTAGAGGGGGAGCAGTTGCCTGAGGATAGTGTTCAAAACTAATGCTTCGACACGAGATGGATAATCCTTGAACAGTTGCTCATCAAATGAATCATGTTCAGACTGGACACTACACCGAGGGAAATTAAAGGCAGTTAGACAGCCTCACAGCCATTGTTGTTAGCGACGCTTTGAGTCTGGGCAGTGTACATTGTGACTCGATATCCACAGAATGGTACATAACGCGATTGTTCCAACGGAAATAAACCTGAACCCGTCAGTCAGCATCTCCCCCTCCAATCCCCCCCAACCAACCCAACAACGCCAGTGGCAGTCGTAAGTGTACATTTCGCCAACCGACAGCGTTCCGCCACTTGAATTTCAGCAAATGCGCGCAGACATGCCTCCTGAGACCAGGGAGATCATCCAGATACGCGGAAATCACACGCTTCTCAACCCAACCTTAACCAGCTCGAAACGTACCAACCGAACTTAACCGACTACATCAGCCAAAAACACGCCCTCTCGAAGGTGGTTGGTGGCAATCTGGTGGGTTTGGAATGAGAGAATTTCTCCAGTGGCCAGTTCGGTGATTCATCCTTGCTCAGGGGGCCTCGAATTACTCGAGTGGCCACCCAATTCGGTGATAATTACTCGAGTGGCCACGCCAGGGGATTTTTGCTGGCTTTGTAGCCCTGAAAGTTCTCATTTGTGCGAGTGGTATCCCTAGGTAGTGTTCCGTTCTGTTCCGCACCCGAAAATAGGTTTTCCATGCTCCCTAAGCACACACAATTGATCATCACATATGCGCGCACATAAAGTTTATTGCGCGGTCTTATATAACATATGCCTGCGATTTTGTTTGGACATATTGATTGGACGCGCAAAGTCAAATCCATATCCAGCGAACAAAACAAACCAATCACGCGCGGTCATCAAATTTCTCGCGAACTGAACGGCCGATCATTTCAGTATACTGTATGATCGGGAGTTCTACGATGGCACCTGATTGGACGAGCAGTGGCAACAAATGAACCGCGCATATTTCCTGACCAATCGAGCGCGGTCGTTATTGCTGTGGCGGTTCTTTTCGGGTCAAATGCAGTATATGATCGCGAAGTTATATGCTCGATCGCTGATTAGTTTCGAATTATATTGACCACGCGCTCATTGGTCGCGCATTTGGCCGAAACTGACCGGCCAATGTACTGCTGGTCGGATTCTTTTTCAGTGGGCGGGCCACTTTCGCGTCCATGAGCCTGGCGAAATTTTCGGGTGCGGAACAGAACGGAACACTACCTCGGGATACCACTCGCACGAATGAGGAATTTTCAGGGCCACAAAGTCCCGTAGGGTAATCCAGCAGGAAACTCGAGGCCCTCCGAGCAAGGATGAATCACCGAACTGGCCACTAGAGAAATTCTCTCGTTTGGAATTTGGGAGCTTCGGTTACACACGGCTTGCGCTGCGCGGTCCGTTGTAGCGAGCGACGACGACGGCCACACACACAGCGCAGCAGGGTTGAGCCGCAGGGAGGGCACGGCGCAGCAGCGGCGCAGCACCGCACTGCAATGCAACAACACAACACGGATCAGCAACTTCTCGGTTCTTCTGCACGTTCCTCCTATCTAGCCCAGCTCAGTGACGTTTAGCTACCGCAGTTGCTCTTGGCCTTGATTGCTCCTTCTCACCCGAGCAATCATGTCGGAGTCCGTCACTCTAGCTACGGCGTCACTGCTCGCCGTACATGGCGGCAACAGACCACTGCTCTCATGCCTAAGCTCGTCCAGGTAGGCGGCTTTTGACAATTATCTTCACGCGTTCACTTTTCATTTCCTCCGTTCACTCAATTGGTCCATCATAATTCAATATGTCATTTTCTGTCACATCGAGTCTCGGCTCAATCTGACGGTTATCCCTCTAATTTGACAGGCGATGGCTTCAGAGAGCGAGAACGGCGGGATCGCCGATGACGGCGAGATCGCCGGGAACGGCAGGAGGAACCGCTGTCGCGGCTCCAGCACGGCACCGTACGCAGATCGTGGTGGCTGCGCTACGGCCACGGTCGACAGGGCCGCTTTTCGCGCTGCCGGCGGTTGCAGGCGATCTAGCGCTCGCGAGCCGCGACGCGCTGGTGCATGCAGATGACTGCAGCAACGCGGGGCCGGAAGTGACGAAAGAGCGGCTCGAGTCATGGCTGCAGCGATCGGCCGCGGAGGTGAGGCGAGGAACGAGTTGAAGCAGTAAGGACGCGCGGAACGAGAGTGAACAGTTCGTCGTGCTCGACGATTCATCTTATATTGATACTTCGTCTGTCGCTTCGCGCTCATCTCCGCACCGATCCCATTCGCTAATCTTGCGCTCGCAGCTTCCTCGCTCTTCTTCTTTCTTTGTTTCTCCGTCGCCTGTTTCCCGTCCGTAAGTCAATCAATCTCCCAATTCTCCGCGTTTCATCATCCACCCCGCCAGATTATCGGCCACCTGGACGAAGCGCCATTCTTCCACCTTATCTTCGACGGCCCCGCGCACCAGAACCCTGCGCACGAGCATCCCGCGCACGAGCATTCCGCGCACGAGCATTCCGCGCACGATCACCCCGCGCACGAGCACGCCCTTTCTGCGCTACACCACTCTCCCAGCACGGCATTCCAACGGCTACCGGAAGGCGTCGTCGAGCACCCCGACAGCTGGTCCACCGTCAGGAAAACCGTCGCCGGCGACAATCCTGACGGCCTCATCCTGGTGCACCGGCTAGATCCGACGGATCTGACGCGGCGATACGGCGACGAGATGGCGGGCGTGGTAGAGCAGCCGTTACCGCCCGCAGGGCCGGGAAGTGTGTGTCAGACGGGCGTGTGGGGGCTAGTGGTGCTGGGGCGATCGAGCCACCGGCACGCGTGCTATATTCTTAAGACGACTCGCTGCTCCGCGGCCTCCTCCTTGACCGCGACACGGTTCTCCATCACGCGCGCGCGGTGCTTCGGACCCGGCGTGCACCAGCAGCTCGAAAACGCATGGCTCGCGAGTAGATAGCGAGGGGGAGTCGCGAGGCGAGGTGCCTAACAAGGGAAAGCGTTGCTGGGTAGCAGAGAGGTAGCAACTAACTCATGCGTAGGATGGATAAGGGGGCAGGGGTAGGGAGAGGGTTGTAGGACAAGACAAGGGAGTTGATCTGAAGAGGGAATCTGGCGTTCCTGCAGTTGCTGTGCTGAGCCCATCTGTACAGAGGAGAGTTTCAGGAAGCCTGCTTCATCTTTTTAGGTTAGAAGGACCGTCCGCTGCAAATATATTTAATTTATTTTGCACAAGGATTCAGTAAAGCATAGACTCCAAGTGTTCGACTGAGACCCGCTGGTTCATCATGCACCATGGTGTACAATAACTAGCCACACTCACCGCGAGGTGGACTAGCAAGAAGAGCTGCAGTTCAGAAGGATGCACTGACGTTCACATCACAGTATTGCACCCTGGAGGGGGAAAGTACCACGTTTTGCCACGCAGAATGTGTGCAACGCACCCTGGTACACCAGACCTTCCTCTCTGGCACCCACTCACTGCCAGGCTCTGCAGTGCCGTCAGTGCTGTCAGCTGCTCTGGTAGGCACTTCAAATGGATCCAACGGAGGAGATCCAAGCGAGTGAGACGCGTGAGGAGGGCGATGGATGGATGAAGGGACTCCAGGTGTGCATTGCAGAGCTCCAGCGTTGTGAGGGGAAGGGGCTTGTCAAACACACAACACTGCATGGCTGTGTATATGTTTTCCAGGCGGAGCGTGCGCAAGAGCGGTAGCGAGCTGAGGGCAGGGAGCAGGGCCGTTTGCCATGGCAACCCGGCCATCCCCAGGCAGAGAAAGCGCAGCTGTGTGAAGGAAGAGAGCGGGGCAGGGTATGGAGGTTCTGTGAATTTCAGAAGCAGGAATTGCAGGCGGGGGTAGAGCGGCGGGGTGGTGTCTGTGCGCAAGAGGCACGGGCCACCTGACATGTGCGTGAGCGAGGGGAGTGCTGCCACATCAACTTCCATTCCACCCCTGGAGCCGTTTACTGCGCACAGCAGCGAGCGCAGGTTGGGGAAGAGGCAGCAGGAAGGAGGCATGGGGCGGTCGTGAGGGCCGAGCCAAAGCAGAGAGGGCAGTGAGTGGAGCTCCAGGTGGAGGAGAGATGGGTATGGGGAGGTGGTGGGAGGGATGAGGAGACGGCCGGTGGAGCGAAGCACTAGGGTATGCAATCCGGTGGTGGAGGACAAGGAGGAGGAGGAGGAAGTGGTGGTGGTGTCTGTGGCATGTGCGCCTGTTGGTGTCAGTGCCGCTGTCCCTAGGGTAACTGTAGTTGACAGGCGCGAGGAAGATGCACCAACATAGCTGGTCGCATCGGTACGAGGTGATGGTTCGTGGGAGGGAAGCAGCAGGGAGAGGTCTGGAATGGCAACGTCAAGATGGCGGAGGGTGGGCAGAGAGAGAATGACCCCGTGTGGGTCGAATGCAGCTGCGGGCATTTCAAGGCGAGTGAGCGAGGAGAGTTGGGAGAGTGCCGCGGGGACCACAGAGTGGAGAGACAGAGTGAGGGATGTGAGGGAGCACAATGCAGCAAGGCACGGACCGAGGGTGCTGTGCGGGCGGTAGAGGGAGAATGGGCCCGGCCCTCTGTTTCTGTCCCATGGGTCTCCTGCCCCCGGCTCATACCTTTCCCGTCTCCAAGACCTCATCTCTTTCTCATCCTCATCCTCATCCTCATCCACATCTCTGCTTCTCTCCTCCGAGCCCTGACCCAGGCTCTCTTGCACCTCTTGCTCACCCCAGTCGCCGTCCATCACCCACAGGTTAGTGTCTAACTGTGTGAGTGAATGGAGAGACTATAGGGACGCGAGGCAGTGCTCTCTGGGTACTCTCACCGGCGGCCAGTCCTCACAGAAGCCCCGGACCTTCGTGCTTCGCAGGGACAGGCGGCGAAGGCTCGGGCCGAGCCCGGCGAACAGGTCCGGTGAGATGGGAAGCGTGGAGGGGGGGATGCAGGCAGGGTGGCAATGCGAGAGCAGCATGCGGAGGAAAAGATGCGGGGGAGGGTCGCGGTGCACATGAACGTCTAGGTCTAGATGCAGGGAGAGGGAGGAGAGACGAGTCATGTGGGAGAACGGGGACCCGGACGCCAATTGTGGCTGGATGGGGGGAGAGAGAGTGAAGGAGAGCGAGCGGAGGCTTGATAAACGGAAGAGGCATGGCGGGATGGAAGGGAGAGGCAGGGAGAGGTGCTCCAAGCGCGGGGCGAGGGCGGGTAGGGACGCGGGGAGGCAGAGGTGGGGAGTGAGGGAGGTGTGGTGCAAGTGGAGGGAGCGCAAGGCGGAGCACTGGGTGAGCAACGCGCGGAGGGCAGCACACACGCTATTCCCCATCCGCCTGGCACCCCTGCTGTAAGCACTCCCCGCTTCCGCTTCCGCCTCCGCCTCTTCCCCCGTTTCCGCCTCCTCCTCGCAAGTAGCATGACCTCCGCGGTCGCCCCGCCACCCTGTCTCCCCCGACACCTTGACCTGAAGCACGCACCGCTGCAGCGACGGGCAGTGCGCGGCGAGGGACAGCAGCAGGCGCGAGAGGTCGCTGGGCGTTAACGGCACAGCGCGCCAAGTCGCGATGGTTACGTGGAAGGACGTGAGGGCGCGCTGCAGCTGTCGCGCGCGGGCTTCTAAGCGCGGCACCAGGGCGCAGGACCACTGGTCTCTCGGCGCGTCCGGCGCGCCATCCCCCCCCGCGCCATCATTCCCCGCGGCATCATCCCACGCCCCCAGCCCCACCACCGGACACGGCTCCATCGCCCGGCCGTGCCATCCCATGTCGTTACTCGCCAGCATCGCAGCGTCGTCGCACACGTCGTCGCCTTCGCTATCGCTGTCGGTGCGAGCTGCGACAGCTTCGCCCAGCCGTCGCAGAGGCATGCGACTCCTGCGATCGAGCGCCAGCGGGAGCTGCACGGTCGACGGATCGCACAGTTCCGAGATCGCACAGCTGCTGACGTCACCGAACCATGGCTCCCAGCGCAGCAGCCGCTGATTAAATACCAGCGCGAATCGCCTCGCGCCGCAACGCTGCATGGCGGCGCGCCAAACCCTGCTGACGAGCATTGCTCGCGCCACGTCAGCGGGTCGCTCCAGATACATCAAAACAAGTTCTATGACCTCCGCAGGTAGGTCGGGCAGACGATTAGCCCTCCCGCCGCCATGCTCGGCGCGCGTATTAGCCATGTCCTCAACGTATGTGACTGTTCAACTGTCGCTGAAGCTCGGAGTGATGGAGTGTGAAACCGTGAAATGTGGCCAGCAGCAGCTGTGGACCGATGATGCTGATTTGGTCCACGGTACCTTCTGCACTGTACACACCGCTGCTGAGCATATTCACCATCAGGGTCCATGTGATGTGCCAGTGGTCATCATGATGAGCCACAGCTACGGAACCACCTGTTGACTTGCTGACTTCTTGTGGTTCCTTCCTTCATTCCTTCATGCTCCCGTGTATGCTTGGTGTGGTGTGCCCCCTTGCAAGCAAGGCTGCCATACGCAGTTCCTCTAGGGTGCATTCTTAGCGCAATATGGCCCATAACAAGCATGGCATCAGAAAACAGATTACAGTTACAGTAGTGCACGCATTCTAAGGAGTCCTCCTTAACCCAGGGCCTGTCAGTACTGTATTGAGTTGAGAGTGGATGCACGTGCCATCGCGCCACCCTCCCCATCGTCCTCTAATACCGGTGCCACTCTCCTCTCCTCTAATCCACTGGACCCCCTGCCGAACCTCGAGGCAGCGCGAGCGGCGCGGTTGGGGAGCAAGGCGGGCAATGGGGGGGCGGAGGGCACGGCAGTGCGCACACTGCCACAGAGCTCTGCTATGACTTGTGACATGGTGGGGCGGAATTCCGCCTCAGGCTGCGTGGGTCGTAGCGGGGAACAGGACAGGCACATCACACAGTGTAGTTTTGGTGAGAAGAAGAATGGGGAAGACTGGAACAGCACAAATATGTACTTGGAAAGCAAGGGGAGGGGTTGAGGAGAGAGAACGACATGGAAATCCGAAGATTGGAAGAGCGAGGGGGGGGGTGGGGGGGGTGGGGGAGTGGGGGGGAAGAGGGGCGGGTAGGCTTGGGTTGCAAAGACGGAGTGAGGGAAGGGGGAAAGGGCAAGGGAGGGAAGGAGAACTTTGTGAGAAGCGAGCGAGAGAAGCAGAGGGGAGTAAGAAAGCGAACTAGGCATGTCGAAGGTACCTGAATACAGTGCGATGCAAGCCTGGCGAAGTGCAGGAGAGCAGTGGACGATGGAGGGTGGCCAGGCATGCACGCATCCAGGAGCGACGGGAGCGCCGAGGTAGAGGAAAGGCGGGGAGCAGCCCAGCGCACAAGAGAAGACTGCGACTTGGGCTTTGAGCTGGTGAATGGGCATAGGATGGGAGAGGGGGAGGAGGGGAGTTCGGGTGGGACAGGGAGGTGAAGAGGAAAGAGAAGCTGAGTAAGCTACAGAACCTTGCCTATGGTAATGAATAAGAGGGCGGAGTCAGTTGAAGAACAAGAGAGTGGGGTGAGGGGCCGACAGGGAGGGAGATATGCGGGAAGTTGACATGGCACTCTTCTGAGAAGGACGGGATGAAAGAAAGAGCAGATGACAAGTGAGTAGCAGCAGGTGGCACAAAGCAGCAAGTGCAGCACACGTACGGGTCAACGGGCTTGCGGCCTGTGAGGAGCTCCAGCAGCACCACTCCGAAGCTGTACATGTCACTGCTGGGCGTGAAGACGCCCGTCATTGCATGCTCTGGTGCGCTGTACGCAAACGCACCCACCAGCTGGTCCGTCTGAAGATAGGGCAGAAAGGAAAGGGAAGATGGGGCCGGGGGGTCAGGATCGTAGGAGCTCTCCCGTAAAGAAAGACCAGCTGGAGGTATTTGGAATGGCTATGCAGAACTGGTAGATTGCTATAGGAAGGCTGGCAGTAGTATCCGGGAAAAGAAGCAGTGGAAGGCGATTGAGAATGGGAGACGAGGGAAGAGAGAAGCACTGACATGAGCGTAGGAGGCGACAGTGGCGCCGTGCAGGGGAGCGAGGCCAGCATGGGCGATGTGAGGCTGGGAGTGTGCGTCAAGGAAGATGAGCGAGGAGGAGATGGCACCATGCACGATGGGCGGGCGGCAGTCCTCATGCAGGTACCTGCACGCACAGGGGGGCAGGTGGGGGTTGGCAGAGGGGGAACGGGGGCAATGGGGCAAGGGGGAGGTATGGCAGGGACAGGGGCTCAGAACAAGAGAAGCCGTGCGGAAGAGGAAGCTTAGAGGGGCGCTTTTGTGAATAAAAAGGAGCGTTGAAACTGGAACAACGGGTGGGAAAAGCACGAGGTTGGCGAGCGTGACAACAGAGAAGCCATCTGAGTAAAGACACACAGATTGCCAGACTTACACAAGCGTTCAAGGTTACCTGAGAGCATGAGCGCAGCCAATAGCAATCTCCACTCGCGCATCCCAGCTCAAAAAGCACGTGCTACCACTGCTGCCAGCCACGATCTCACCACCCCCATCAGCGCCATGCAAGGCAGAAGAGGGGGAGCTAGGGTGGTGCAGAGCGCAGGCAAGAGTGCCCAGGTGGCCAGCGCGCCAGCAAAAGTCATCCAGCACTAGCAGCCTCTCTCCCCCGTCCACAGAGAACCCTCGCAGAGGCACCAGGTTGCCGTGCAGCAGGGGCGCCAGCTGCACCGCTGCCTGCCGCACCTGCTCCTCGGACCATCCGCCCTGGGGTGACGGGTCCAGGCGCGCCACTGCCACTGGCTGCATAGCGAAGAGGGGAAAGCGGCCAAGGTGGGAGGAAGAGGGGGAGAGAGGAGAATGAGTGAGAGGGAACAGAAATGTGAAGTTTGATTTCTTCTGAATGCCATGGAGAAAATTTATGCGTGCATGAAGTGCCGTGTGAGCCACTCACCGACCCATCTGCCAGTCTGCCACTGAAAAGTGGCCCAAACGGCCCCTCCTGGATGCGTGCACTGAGAGCAAAGCCATCTGTAGCAGCCCAGAGCTCCTGCAGGGAAAACTCGCGTGCAGAGGACTCCCCTACCGCCCTGCCATGTGCACTAGGGTCCTGCGGGGGCACTGCCGCATGCTGGTTCTTGTGCGATTGCCGTAGCTTGGTCTCCCAGAAATAAGTCGGTGCTGCCAAGGAGACAGAGGGTAGGGACGACAGGAATGGGGAGAGGCTTGACACAAAGGCAGGACAAAGCAGGTAATGACAGGAGACAGCAAGTGAAGAGAGTCCCACCTGAGGCCCTGGGATATCTGGCAGCAAGACAGTCAGCAGCCCGGCTGATACGTCACCCTGCAAGCTACAGCTGTAAAGCCAACCTCACCTTCAGCAGTGAAAGGTTTGCCGTTCAGCATCCCTCCTCTGCCGCGGACCGTTTCGTCTTTCTCCTTGTCCTTCCCGCCCTCTGCTGCCGCTTGCTCCGCTCTCTGGCCCCACCAGCCCTTGGAGAATCCCCCACGCCACACCCCCCAGCAGGATGGGTCAGCCCTGCTGCCCTTGCGGCTGCTGCTAGTTGCACAGCAGTGAAGAACGGACCAAAGGGGGTTGTGGCAGGAGAAACGGGTGCGTAGCAGCAGGCACCAAGCTATGCCGAGCAGCAGGAGCAGCAGTACTGGCACTCCCACGCCCAGCGCTATGGCCATTGTCTTGCTCTTGCTGGTGCTGGCGGGGTGCTGCTCACTGTCAGAAGGGCTACCACTGTTGCTCGTGCCTGGACACAAGCAGGGTTGCAGCGACAAGTGGATGGTGGGGGGATTGTCAACGTACTGGCGGATTGCAGCCAATGACGAGACCAGAAAACAAACATCGTGCACACAAAGCTTGAACACTCAACCAGGTAAAGTTGATCGGGGGTTGTCAGTACACTAGTGAGACTTACTCGGTGTGGAAAGGGTGTATCCAGGAATCCAGTAACCTAGCACCTCCACCCTTCCGAAACCTCGAAGCCCCAACAGCTCAACCCTGCTCGTCTCATGGCTAGCCCCTGCACCAGTACCAGCAGCCCCGCCAGCAGTTGTGTTGGTGGACTGTGCAAGTGCGGTTTGCAGAGTAGTGGAGAATTGGTCAAGGGTGGCATTCGGGAATTGTGTGATGGGGGCAGGAGGCAGCACCACAGCGAGAGCGATGACACTGCCGGGACGAATGGAGGGTATGAGGACTTGAGATGCGTTGACGGCAAATGAGCGAGCCAGCTGCAGCTGAAGACTCTGATTGGAAGTTACGGGAGGAAAAATGTTGTAATGGGGGAGGGCGAGGGAAAAGAGGGAAAAACAGAGGAGTGAAAAGAGGGGAATGGGGAGTAAGGAAAGGCCGCGTTTGCTTGAGGTTCTATGACAAGAAGATTGGGAGGTTTGAGGGAGGGAAGAAGTACCAGTATGCAAGACAACAGGCACGGAGACTAACGTGACTGAGACACAATTACATTTCTTGCAGCGGTGCGGTGCAGACAGTACCTGCTTGAACGCGGAGTTGAAGCGACGAAACTCCATTGACAGCCGAATCTCCACTACCACTGGCTGCACGCACATGCACGCCACCCCACGACCCCCAACAGATGACACCTTGCGTGCAACCCAGCTGTCAGCGCAAGGCGAGCAGCCTTGCGGAGTGGCGAGGTCCAGAGATGGTACAGGCACCGGTGGGGCTGGGGGCACAAAGGGGATGAGCGGTAGCGCTGGGGAGGGCGGTGAGGGGGGCGGTGGGGGTGATGGTGGGGGGAAACGAGGCCGCGGGGGGCGAGGTGGGGGTGGGAATGGGGGGGATGGAGGGGGAGAAGGGGGAGGAGATGGGGGAGGGGGGGAAGGCGGAGGAGGAGACGGCGGGGGAGGAAAAGGAGGAGGAGGAGAGGGAGGGGGGGGAGATGGAGGTGGGGGGGATGGAGGAGGGGGGGATGGAGGAGGAGGAGATGGAGGAGGGGAAGGGGGAGGGGGAGAAGGTGGGGGTGGAGGAGGAGGGGATGGTGGGGGGGAGGGAGGTGGAGGGGACGGTGGAGGAGGAGAAGGGGGAGGCGAGGGTGGCGGTGAGGGTGGGGGAGAAGAGCGCTTCTTGGTTGAGGGGCGCTTGGATGAAGGCAGAGGGGCTAGGGGCGATGGGGGGGGTGGAAGTGGCGGGAGGGAGGGTGGTGGTAGGCCTGATGTTGGGATCTTGAGGTCCCCGTCATACCTGGCAAGGCAGGGAGGGACCAGGAAAGATGCAAAAAGATAACAAAAGTATGATTTGCAAAGGAAACAAGGAATGAAGCACCGCGCAGCAGTCAGTTCAGTGGTGGACAGTAAAGCAGTGGTGTGTCAAGCTGCTAGCGGCCTTGACTGCAGGACTTAACCCCTGGTGCATCCTGACAGCTATGGTCGAACAATGTAAATACAGTAATAAAAACGGCCATTGTAACCTTTCAGAACGTATGGCTCGTCTATCAACCCCATCGCACCCACTCACAAAAACGTTGGGATGCGCAAGTAGGAGGCGGGAATGGTTCCCTGGAACTGGTTCCCACGAATATCCAGCAGCTGCAGCTTTGGCATGTTCCCCAGGGACGCCGGGAGGGTGCCAGTAAGACGATTTGAGCTCAGCACCCTGCAGGTGAGGAGTCAGGACATGGAGATACAAAGTTGAGCAGCGGGAAGAGGGACAAGTGGAAAGCGGTTCGGAGGTACGGAAATTTACAACAACTTGGAGACGTAAGGCATTATAAGATTGCAGTCATGCACTTTGGCAGGGACTGGTGGCTGGCTTGCACGGCCTTACAGCTCTTTCAAGTTGGTCAGCTGACCCAGTTCATTAGGCAGCGTCCCATCGAAAGTGTTGCTGCCCAAATGACTGCTTGTTGCCATGCGTCCGAGTCGATCAAGTGTTGCCAGCGTTACGAGTGTTGTGAGGGGTGGCCAATGACACAGAGGGGACAGAGACGCAGCAAGGTGAACAACGTATGGTTCTCCTAACGTTGGGGTCTATGAGGATGTGCGTCGTGGCTCATGAGAAACCAATGGCAAGATGGGACATCCATGCAAAGGAAAAACATCAAAGGAAATTGTGGTCACAGGTTCACAGGCTGTCAACGATGTTGCTATTTTCTGCTGGCTCCCTTACAGTAACTGAAGTTGGTTGAGCTTTCCTATCTCAGCTGGAATTGAGTCTTCCAGGCCGTTGGAGGTCAAATCCCTGAGCAAGAGCACAGAATGGAATCAGCTGAACCACCAACCCAGTACTGGAGGTATATCTTAGTGTACTTGGACTGAATTGGTCAAATTGGTAGCAACCCTGTCCAACTGCAGGCCCTTCCGTGAAAGAAAATAGTGAGATCAGCTTTATTGCTTCATGGAGTTTACAAGTTGCTGCGAAGGGCTCTTACATGTACACCAGGCCAGAGATTTCACCAATCTTGGCATGCAGGGAACCTCCCAAATGGTTGCCGCTCAGATTTCTAGAGACATCAAGTAAACGCAGACGTTAGCTCATGCAGACGGTCCATGGATTCGCGGGAAAAGAAAGTGCGGGAAGCGTTTGGTAACATGGAGAATTGTACGAGATGAATTATGCTCACATTGCGGTGAGTGCAGTAAGATAGCCCAGATGAGGCATGGTGCCTTGAAGATTACATTGAGACAAATCCCTGCATCACGCAATCACTAAATCTATCAACACTGCGTCATGGCAACAGGGACACCAGTAACATGCTGTCAGGGACTTACAGATGTCTCAGGCCAGAGAGCTGTTGAACTCCGTGAGGAATTTCGCCAGTGAGTGGATTCATACTCAGGTCTCTGTGAGAGGCATAAGAATGTTATAACATTGCTGTCGGATGTAAACGATAATTTCTGACGAAGCTTTGCTGTATCGGCTCATCTGAGCTCGTCGCATCATCTCGTTTCATCACACCATAGTGAAAAATCAGATCACGCACAGGTGACTTATGCTGTTCAGCTGGGTAATGGTATCAGGCATGCCTCCTTGGATTTGATTGCCAGACATCACTCTGCACGGAAATTACCAGTTAGTCCACAGAGCGAGAGAAGCACCAATCCAAAACTTAATAAAAAGACTTATTTTCCGTGGTGGAGTAAAGACGACTCACAGAAATTGGAGCGCATCCAAGTCTCCCACAGCCTTGCTGAGTGGCCCTTGAAGGCCAGCATTAGTAATATTCCTGTTATGTAAGAACCGTTAGGTGAGGCTTCCGGGGCCAAACAGCTCGTGAAAGATAATAGAGATATAAAAATCCCACAAGCCAATCACGTGACGCGGATTGGAGTTAGATGTGCAAGTCACACCCCGCCATGACCCCCCAGACGCCCCCACGGTAGCTCCAGGCAACGCTCCTCCAGAACACGGATCGGCCCATTTCCACGACTCCAATGCGCTGGGCCACCCGAAGCTTCCACCTATTGCTGTCAGCGCGGCGACTGCCACATAAAATACACAATGACACGAATGAGCACGTGCACGTGCGGTGTCATTCAATCGCAGAAAATACCAACTCATGGCCAAGTTTCCTTGATACCTTCGTCAACATTGGTGAGCTGTGAAGCGCATCGTCTCCACTGGAGTAAAAGGAACAGCACGAGCTGCAATTGAGTCAGTCTTTGACTCCGACTCGCCATCCTAGCTGCAGCTGCAGCAAACCAATTAGCTGAAAATCCTTGCTGTGGTCGTTTCTAGCTCTTTTCAATGCTCTGGTCAGCCTTGAGTCAGACAATGAGCCGCAAAGTGTCCAGTGCTCTTCCACCATCTTCAAATTCCAAGGCTTATCCAACAGCAGCCCGGAAGCAATTCCCGAATTCCGAGGGGCTTGTGGGAAATCTGCTCAGTCACAGCATTGGAATGACCCTTGAGATTGTCAACCATGACGAGCAATCTCGAGAGTTTCTGCCCACAACTCAGCAATGTGCAGTTAGAACATCATTCGCTATTGTCGTAGCGTCCAGTAAAAACCAAAATCGGAACGAGTCTACAACAGGCACAAATAATATGGATGCTCCAAGCAGCGAAAAAGGCAACCTAGAGGTGCCGGAAAAAAATTGGTGCATGGATATTCCTTTTTAATTGTTTCTTATATCAATGAATGATCTAACATAATCTGAACGCTTTCACAGTATGCCCAGGCATATTTTTCTGTCAATCTGGCTCTACAGATTCAAATACTACCTGGTTCTATAGACTAATTGTGAGCACCTTGAGACGAAAATTCCGGGCCGCGATGTTCCGTAGGGGGCTGGATCAACCAATCACATGACAGCCGCTTCCCTCCTACACCACCCACCAATCCACCGAACACCACAGCCCAGCCAAACAATCCCCTCCATCCATCCACCTTCCTCAACGATCTGTCCCTTTCCCCCTCTCAACGTGCTCCACCTCTCAGCAGGGAAGGGCACAACCTGGGGCTGGAGGGATCTGGAATTTCCTGGATTTTCGTCGGAACAGCGAAGACGAGACCACCGACTGCTACGTCCTCAGTGTTGAACTCTCATGAATTCCGACAGTAGACGGTAGACATGCCTAGACCAGCACAGTGGTGCGCTCCCAGAGTCACGCCCAGCAACCTCCTCGTCGCGTACCTGCGCCGCCTATATCCAAACAAACTGGGGTGCCGTATGTCCTACTGCTTTGTCGTCCCCTCAGCGCGACGCGGTGACTAGCTTGGACCAGTCTCCCCGCTGTCCTCCCCCTCGCCGTTGCCTGTACGATGCATCCCTTGTTTTCTTCGGCTCGCGGCATGACGTGCAGCTGCGAGGTACAAAATCTGACCGTGCTGTGTAGACAGACAGACATACGTTGGACAACTACCAAAATTTCTAAAACATCCTACTCTATCCTGCGCTCTACCTTCGAATATAGTCGCCGAGTGCGGTTCGAGCTAGACATCTTGCCAACCTTTATCCCGTTCGTCCACACACTCCGACCATGGCGTCCGTCAGGTTAATTTCCCTTTTCCTCCTCGTCCTCGTCAGCGCGGCCGCCGTGGCCGAGGCGCGGATAGACCCGACGGAGTTCATCAAGGCCATCAAGGCGATCAGACGGTCGCCGCGAATCGCGGCCGCGACTCTTCCTGCTGCCGAAGCGCTGTGTAAGTTTCGCGTTCCGTCGCGCTGTGCTCGTTTTCGTCGTTTCACCTCGTTCTCCATGTCTCCTGCACTAGTGAGATGGCCTTTTTGTCAGTCTTGTGCAAATAGAATTGCATTACCTGCACTACCACTAGTCTCATCCCGGCTCTCTCCTTCGCGTTGCCCCTCCCTCCCTCCTCCGCCACCCCACCAGTCCGCAGGGTGATGAAGCTGGACAGCTCCACCGGCAACGTGACTCTCCTCGTCCCCGCAGCGCTCGCCTCGCTCAGCCCCTCCGCGCTGCCCGCCTACACGATCCCGCAGGCGAACAAAATTCGCCTGTACCACTTGCTCTCGGGTCTCTATACCGCTGCGGACCTCCAGGCGCTGTCCCGCAACGCCAAGATCCCCACTGTGGAGGGGAAGGCCATCACGAAGCTCACACCTCCGATCATCCCCGTGGTGATGCTCAAGGGAAAGGACCTGATGCCGTCTGTGCTGGTGTCCGGCGATGTGTATGTTGGCGATACCCTTGCAGTGCACGTCGTGTCGTCCATTCTGCTCCCTCCTGACCTCTAGAGTGCGTCTTTCAGGGAGTTTCTAAACGGGTGCAGTAAAAGCAGCAGCTCTCATGACACGCCTAGGAAGCTGAAAGTGCGGCCATGGGGAAGTGCTGCAGTTGGTAACGGCGGTGCAGTCTCAGCTCTTCCTGCCTTCCTCTGCTGTGCATTACCGTACATAGAAGACTGGAGTGTGGCGTGGTGGCAACAACTTGTTGCCCTAGGGTGGTAGTGGATGGGCGGAATTATGGGGTTGGTTGGGTAGTAAGTACTGTGCAAGGCAGATGAAGGTAGGAAGTAGACTGAGGGTGCACACACTCTGTGACTTCATGGTGTGCTAGGGATGTGTATTTGTTGAGTGCAACCAACAAATCTGACTCTAGGTTGGAGCCCTGGACACCTGGGGAGTGTTAGCCATTTCTTTTGTCTTAAATATTATTGAAACAATACACGAATTTGTCTCCTTGCAGAATACCCCATTTGACCTGCATTTGGAAACTGTCTTGCCATCAAGCATAGGGAAGGCATAAAGTATCGTTCAATTAATATTAATTTGATCAGGTATAGGTGAATCGAGGGAATATGGTATATCGGTTGCAATAGTTCCGGGTACAAACACGCTTGGTTTTGTGTGTTGCACTCGCACATTGGTTGGGTGGGAGCAAAAGTTGCGCTCAGCCGTTCGATCAATCTGGTGTACCCAAGAGCAGAAGGAGCATGAAGATCGAGAACCATTGCATGCGTATCATTTACTACATTACAACATGACCCATCCTGCTGGGCGATCGCGTCGTCGTGTCAGAAGCATGCTTCTAACATACAATTCCCGCTTCGGTATTTCGCGGGTCGTAGCTAACGGAATGGGTATCTTCGCCGTCAAGGCTCTCACGAACTGCCACCTTCGGCAGACGGTGCGGCGCCCTCCACCCAAGCAGGGGAAATGGATCATCGTTTCTGTGAATCGTTGTTCACCACTCTAAATCTGTCTAGATCCCCTGGATTTTACCTCTGAACATGGCTTCTTTCACTAATGGTCACCTTCCTTTCAGAAATCCGTTTTCTAGCTTCCCTGGATACCATTCCTTCTAACCATCGTCAGAGCACTTAAAGCCCGCAGCCCAATTTGTTCAACCTTAGTAAGGTTGACCGCTGGGCTATGGGGAGGGTATTACAAAAGTTGACGGGGAGTTGTGAGCGAGGGTTGTTACAATCTCGCCCAACCCTCGCACCACTTTCCCACAGGGGGACTTCACTTTTGGTTGCTGAAGTCCCAAGTTGCACGTGCGTTTTTTTTTTTTCAAGTTGCTGAAGCCCGATCATCAAGATTAGTAATGTTGACCCACGCGGTCCGTAACTTAGGCCGTGGGGTTTAACCAGGGTCTCACGTAAGAGAAATTGTGATCAACTGCAAAACAAATGAAGCTGAGTCACCCTGTTTGAGGTGGCGAACTCTAGGGGTTGGTTTGGCATTTGACTGTGCGACACCTCCCGTTTTTGCCTGCGATGCAATTGCAAAACATTTTGATGGTACATGAGACTGACAGGATGCTCGAACATTTTGCTGGTGTTATAGCTTTGGCACCGAACCAGTTCCCGTGCCTAGATGGTTCGGACACAAACTGCGATGTGTGTTTCCTTCGCTCCCCTCGTCACACCGCTCGTCATTCTTTCCACCTCGCCAACCAATCCTAACCAGGTGAAGTCATCAACTGCACAACAAATGATCTACGTGAGACCCTGGTTTTAACTCATGGAGTTCTCGAGGAGAAGCCGAAATCCATGGCGGTCGCCATTCTGTTTACCATGAATGGTTCTCACTCGTATCCTTAGTCTTCGTAATCTTCAGTTACGTTTACTCAAGGTCGTCAAGACGGAATTCACTGATCGTTGCAATTCATGGCTGTGTCTCCTGACGCGAGCCAGTAACCTTTTAACCTTAGTCGTAGTCATCGTTAATAAGTAAACCGGGATTTACGTCTGATTGTCGGACAGAGACATTCGAAGCTTAGAAATTGTAGTCATTCGGAGCACTTTCATTTCCGCCATCCACCAATTACTCTCTAGACCGCAGTTCTGATTTCTAATGATTCCAGTTTTCAGAGCAACTTAGTTTAAGTATTCCAGACATCTGACGAGCGCGGTGAAGGAATCTATTAGAGAGCGTAGCGATAACGAGGGAGTTTCTGCTATGATGTTGCGCCAGCAACTTGGTAGAGTTTCGGTAGCATTTGCCTCTAAGGACTTGGTGAGAATTGAAGTAGCATTTTGGACTTCACTAGGAACATATAAAATTATCTCAAACACACAAGCAACACAAACATATATAGGCAGGCGAGGGTTTCACAAGAGGTTGCGTGGGCGCTGCGAGTAACCCAACCCCACGAAAGTGGTGTGTGGGTGAGCGAACGCGCCTCGCCAATTTCCCAACCCAACTCAGCATCGACTTCTCGCTTCCGTGCACACCACTCCACCAACCTAGCAAAGAGTGGTGCGACTCTCAAGGAAGCACCAACGACTCCCACGGACTCTCGCTTCTTCATGCGAACTCCTGCGCAGTTGCACATAGTCACACGTAGTCACACCCGACCTTCACTGAACTCATTCATCGGTGCCGAGTAGACTCAGTCGTTAGGCGTCGACCTGCCAAGTCAAAGGTGATCGAGGGCCCTTGCTGTTGTAGGGCCCTCTAACACTCCCCTGCCATACTACAGCAAGGCCCTTTATAATCACAGGGCATGCATACACACGTACACGCCAAAACAAAGGGAAACACACACAAACGAAGCACTCTCAAAGTGCAAACACGCACCGCACCAGCCATGGATAGGCCATGGCACCATCCACATCATGGAGTGTTTAGGTCTCACCCCCCTCACTCGAAAGCCTCACCTGCCCCACAGCCTCGAAGCAACGACTGAAGGCGGGGAAATGCAATGCCTTCGTGAGGTAGTCAGCAGGCTGCTCGCTCGTAGGGATGTACTGCAACTGCAGCTTCCTGCGCTTGACCATGTGCTGCAGCCACATGTGGCGACGCTCCATGTGCTTGAGGCTCCCCTTGAGCCCCATGCCACCTGCCACTGAAATGGCGGAGGAGTTGTCCACAAAGAGAGTAGTGGGCTCCTCACTCCTCAGCAGTTGAAACTCTGCCAGCAGGAAGCGCAGCTTGCGCGCCTCCTTCCCAGCCTCCACAACAGCAACATACTCAGACTCAGTGGAGGAGAGGGTGGCGCAACGAATCCTCTGGCTCGCCCATGAGACAGCAGCACCCCCAAGCACGAAGACATAGCCACCTGTGCTGGTCCTGTTCTGCTTGTCCCCTGCATCATCAGCATCGGCGTAGCCCACCAGCTCCAAGGACTCCGGCCCACCTCCAAACTCCAGCGCCACATCCCTGCTCCCCACCAAGTACGTCAAGCACCGGTCCAACTCCTTCCAGTGCTGATCACTCCGCACAGTCTGGCCCGACCCCAGCTTGCTGCAGGCGAACGAGATGTCGGGACGGGTGGTACAGGCCGCGAACTGCAAGGATCCCACCTTCTGCCTGTACTCCTCCTCCTGGCGAGACTGCCATCCCACATCCTCGAAGGTCTGCACACTGAAAGGGTCAGAGGAAAGAGGGGTGCGAGGCACTCGCAGCGGCTGCTCCCCGTCAAAGAAGCGCCTATGAACCTTGTCCACATAGGCCCTCTGGTGCAGCCAAAGCCTCCTCGTAGGCCTGTCCCGAATCAGCTGCAACCCCAGATACTTCTCCACAGGGCTAATCTCCCGCAGCTGAAACGCACTCTGCAGCAGCTCACGCAGCTCCCCAAGCATGCTCTGACTGCGGCTGGCAGCAAGCAGGTCATCCACATACACCAGCAACCAGCACATCTCCCCCTCAGCATCAGTTTTGAAGTACAGAGCCTCATCCACCTTGCTCTTCTTCCATCCAGCCCCAAGCAGCACCCCATCCAAGGCCTCATACCATAGCATCGGGCTCTGCTTGAGCCCATACAGACTTTTCACCAACTTACAGACACGAGGAGTCCCATCCTCGTAATAGCTCGGCTGCTCCATGTAAAGGTCTCGGTCCAGCACGCCATGGAGGAACGCATTCTTTACATCGAGCTGCATCAGGTCCAAATCAAGTGCAGCTGCAATCGCCAGAAGCACACGCGCCGTCACATAGCTTCCCACAGGGGCGTACGTCTCCTCATAGTCCACCCCTGCCACCTGCGTGAACCCCTTCACCACCAGCCTCGCCTTCTCACCCTCCACTATCCCATCAGGTCAGAACTTGGTGTTCAAAATCCAGCGGTTCTTCATCACATTCACCCCTGGTGGACGCGGAACCAACTCCCACGTCCCCTGCTCAATCAAGCTCCGCATCTCTTCATCCATCGCCTCCTTCACCTTGTCGCCCTTCCAGCAGCCCAAGGCCTCCTTCACTGTCATTTTCGCTATGTCCCACTGCCTCTCAGGATCAGCTGCAACGTCCGGGTCCAGGTCAGTCCACTCCTCGTCCTCCTCCTCGTCATCCAAGCCCGCTGGCTCAACCACTACAGCCCAAGCGTATCGAACAGGCGGGACACCACGAGTGATGCGAGTGGAGCGACGCACTGGTGCAGTGGTCGTCCCAGAAACCAACACACGACCACCATCTCTAATTCCCCACATCTCTTGCTCCCCTGTCTGCGGCTCCCCTGTCTGCTGCTCCCCGAGCTGCTGGTCCACCATCTGCTGCTCCTCAATCCGCTCCTCCCCTATCTGCTGCTCCCCACTCTGCTGCTTCCCTGTCTGCTGCTCCCCAATCTGCTGCTCCCCTGTCTGCTGTACTCCATCCATACTGCTCTCGTCCTGCAGCTGCTCAGTCTCAAGGCGCTGCCCGTCGGTGATCTCCACAGACGGTGGCACCTCCATCCCCCCCTCACCAACGGGCTGCGCCGTGGAAGACGAAGAGGAGGGCGGAGCAGGTGCAGGAGGGATGGAGGGTGAAAGGGGAGATGGAATAACAGGAGGAGGAGGGGAAGGCAAGGGGGGTGAGGAGGAAGAAGGCGGGACAGGGGGAATCACACGAGGGTAGACGGAAGGCGGAGGTGGGGTGGGGACCGAGGTAGGGACATAGGGCATAGCAGGAGGTGCGACCACCTCCTCCTCCTCCTCCGCCTCCTCGAGAGTGATCGGGAAGAGTGAGGGAAGGGGCTCATAGGGCATCGAACGCTCCCCATGCTCCTGCTGATGCCAAGCCTTCCATCCTGCTAGGGACATGGTCTCATAGAACACAGCTTCCACAGTGGTGATGAGGCGGTTGGACTCCAAGTCCAGCACGGTCCAGCCTTTGCTCGCAGCTGACACACCCAAGTGCAACCCCCAGCGAGCCTTAGGCGCCAGCTTCCCCCCACGCTGCGACCGTGGTACCATGTACTGCAGCATGCAGCCCCAAACACGCACCATACTGACATCAGGTTTGCGTCGAAAGGCGAGCTCGTACGGCGTCACACCAGAGGGTAGTGAGGCGTGCTCCACGCGGTTGCGCACCCAGACGGCCTGAGCCAACGCCAGGTGCCACCAGTGATGCTGCACACCCATGTGCAGCAACATCGTCCGCACCGCCTCCACAATGCTGCGCATCTCCCTCTCGGCCATCCCGTTCTGCTCCGGCGTGTACGGGCATGTGAGGTCATGGATGATGCCTTTACCGTCGAGGAAGAGCGTGAAGTCGTGCCCCAGGAACTCGCCACCCCGATCAGTGCGCAGCGCCTGCACCGTGGTCTTGCACTGTCGCTCTGCCATCGGGAGCCACTTCTGGAACGCCGCCAGCGCATCACTCTTCCGGGCCAAAGGGTAGGCCCAGACATATCGCGTCTTTCGATCCTTCAGCACCAAGAAGTAGCGGCTGCCGTCCTTAGCTGCTTCACGAAAAGGGCCACACAGGTCAGCATGCACCACCCCGAGCAACTCATCCTCCTCCTCTCCCACAGAAGGAAAGGTATGACGAGTGATCTTTCCCCCAACACAGGAAACACAAGGTATGCCTGACTTGCCCCCCTTCTCCAAATCCAAGCCCTTCACTGACCCGTGAGCCGCTGTGCGCTCGATGGCATCAATACCAACGTGTGCCATACGCGCATGCCACAGGTCCCCCTTAGACCGCACGCCCGTCGCCAAGGTACGAAGTGCCACCGTTTCGCCTTCCTGCTGCTGCGTCGAACACGGCTGGAAGTTCGTGCAGAGAACACGCCCCTTGAACTCCGCACGACCAAGGAGCGATCCATCTGGTGCCCGCAGCAAAGTTACATCCCCGGCATCCAGCAACTGCACACCACATTCACGCAGCTGCCCAGCAGAGAGAAGACTCGCCTGCACTCCTGGTACGTACAGCACGTCCGGCACCAAGACACGCCTGCCCCCCTCTCCAAGAAGAGCGACTGTGCCCCGCCCCTGCACCTCCTGAAGCGCGCCGTTGAAGCCAGTAACCTGTTTAATACTGCCGCTGCTGCTCATCTCCACAAAGGCAGAACGATCTCCCATGAGATGGTGGGAGCATCCGCTATCAAGCAGCACGACGCTCGGGTTCGCCTTCACAGCAGCTGCAACAGCCTGTAAGGCCTCCCCGCCCTCAGGCTCTAGCACAACAAGAGGAGTCTGCTCCACAACGGGCTTCACCATCGCACATGATGATTGCCCGCTCCCCTTAGAGCCATCACCCCCCTTTCCGCTGCTACCTCCAGAACCCTCTCCACCGGTGTCTGCCTCCTTATCCGCCCGCTGCTGACAGTACTTAGCAACATGCCCTATTTGTCCACACACATAGCACTTCCCTTTGAAGCCCCCTTTCCCCCCCTTCGGCTGGCCATCCTTACCCCCTTTCCACTTCTCCCCTCCCCCACTAAGCCCACCCCCATTCTTAGGTTGTTGCTGCTGTGCCGTAGTGGGAGGGGAAGGGAACGAATTTTGCTGGAATTGGGGCTTACCCTTCTTGGTAAAGACCTGGTTAGCCTGGGGAAGGAATTGGTCCTTTCGTCCCTCTGACGCCAGCGTACATTCCTCCTCGATGATGTAGCTAGCGAGGGTGTTCTCGTCCAACTCCTTGCGCACCTGCGGCAACTTCAGCATCCTGCGTAAGAGGTTGTACTGCTGCGGCAACCCCTTCACAACGTGAGTGATGTACGACGCCTGCGAGTAATCTACGCCGGCCATCCTCAGGTTCACTAGGATCTGCTGCGCACGGTTGCAATAGGACGTAGCGGACTCATGCTCTCCCATCTCGAGGTTAGTGAGCGCCTGCTCTAACTGACCGATGTACAGATCGTCCTTCGCCATGTACGTGCGCATAATAAACTGCCATGCCTGATAGCCGGCATCAACCTTCATGCGACACGCCTTAAGGGCGATCTGTACGGTTGGGGAGCAGCATCTAGAAATGGTGGTGAATGTCAGCAACTGCATCGCGCGGAACTGAGAGAGATGCGCAAGCGCACGCGCTGGTGGAATAGGGGTGGTGCCATCTATGAATCGCTTTAGCTGAGCGATCTCAAGCTGCGGCTCGATTGATTCTGTCCACGTCGACAGGTCGTGACGTCCTTCTAACGGACTAGTGACAACGATCTTGTCTGGAGTGAATCTGAAGTAGCCATAGTTGGGGGCTATTCCCTCGTCCCTCGACATCGATCCAATCGGGGTAACGCCCGGCATAGTCTCACTATCGAACTCTTCCGCAATTCCTCCTCCAGCAACGCTTCACGGTCCTACATTCGCATGCTCTCGTGACGCTGCTGCACGATGAACACGCTCCTGTACACCGCCGACGCTAGCCGTACTAAACCGAGTTGGTCTTCGCAGGACCCCACGCGACATCAACCCATCAAACTCCTCGTCATCGCTATTTCCGCCATCGACAGCCATATCCCACGCACTAGTACCTCCCGCAACTTGCTCAACATTCTCTACACGTGGGGAAGGGTGCTCACGACGCCGACGCGAGCGCAATCCCTCCAACATTAGCTCGTATTCAATATCACTAATCTCACCACGAGAATGACGAGCCACGAGATCCTCCTCTAGAGTGCGCAAATTACCGGCCTCCACGTTCGCCTCCTCAGTACTCATCCTCTACGACGTCTCTATAAGGTACCACAAATTAAAATAAAGTGCCCCTTCCTTAAATCCCTCGTCTCGGGGTCACCTCACAAGGGTCCTCAGACGAGTGGTAATAAATTACCAAACGTCCTATCCTTGGGTCCGAGAACGTAACTGGAGGGAAATCAAGAGAGGTTCAACTTAGATTAATAAGCGCCCTTCACTAACGCCGCACGCCAAGGCGAGTATACGAACGCGAATATCAACGACGACGTAAATCTATGCGTGTTCGTTCCACGCTCACTGCACCATGAAGGAATCTATTAGAGAGCGTAGCGATAACGAGGGAGTTTCTGCTATGATGTTGCGCCAGCAACTTGGTAGAGTTTCGGTAGCATTTGCCTCTAAGGACTTGGTGAGAATTGAAGTAGCATTTTGGACTTCACTAGGAACATATAAAATTATCTCAAACACACAAGCAACACAAACATATATAGGCAGGCGAGGGTTTCACAAGAGGTTGCGTGGGCGCTGCGAGTAACCCAACCCCACGAAAGTGGTGTGTGGGTGAGCGAACGCGCCTCGCCAATTTCCCAACCCAACTCAGCATCGACTTCTCGCTTCCGTGCACACCACTCCACCAACCTAGCAAAGAGTGGTGCGACTCTCAAGGAAGCACCAACGACTCCCACGGACTCTCGCTTCTTCATGCGAACTCCTGCGCAGTTGCACATAGTCACACGTAGTCACACCCGACCTTCACTGAACTCATTCATCGGTGCCGAGTAGACTCAGTCGTTAGGCGTCGACCTGCCAAGTCAAAGGTGATCGAGGGCCCTTGCTGTTGTAGGGCCCTCTAACACGCGGAACAGAGGGGATTTGCCGAGATGCCTCTTGAAGGAGCGTATGGAGATCGGAAAAATATCTAAGTACCGAGGCGACGCCGCTCTCCAGCAGCGAGAACGTTTCGATTTGGTGATGACCGAGGCCGATATCCTTCCGGCGACAGCTGTTTTACACGGCGAGTAATTGTACGAGGTACAGCAATGAGTATTTTGGAGTTCGAATAGCGAGACGTCGCCAACGGTGATTGAGCGGGTGTTTTTTGACGGTGACGAACGACACAGCCACTTCCAACAACGGTTAGGGACGGCCGCTTATGATGGTGACGATCAAGAGGACGATTACTGACGCTGATCACCGAACCGACGATTTCTGATGGTGACATTTGAAGGGACACTTTCCAAGCAGGACGGCGATTGTTAACGGTGACGACTAAAACGACTCTTTCCGAAGATGACGACTAGGATTGCGATACCTCAAAGTCACAATCGAATCGACTCTTCCCGATGGTGACGATTGAAGTGACGTTTTAGTCGGTGAAGATGAGGATTCATCAGGATTGCGAATACTTACGGCGACGATCAAAGCGATGCTTTCTGACGGTGGCGATCGAGATGGTGACTTCTCACGGTGACGACTGAAGCGACACGCTGACTATCGAGATGAAAATGGTGACGATTTAAACGCTGGCCGTAACAGAGGCGAATGCGAGGGTGGTCGAAATGACACCAACAGCAACGAGTGACTCTCATTCGGAGATGCAATACAAGCAGCAAAATGGATCCTGCTGCTGAGTGGAACGATGACTGCCTCGCTGCTTCTGTCGCTGCAAGCTCTCCAATACGGCCAAGGGCCATCCAGCCCTCTTCTCCCACCTCGCTTTCTCCACTCCCCACGCTTCCTCCTCCTAAGGGCCATCCAGCCCTCCTCTCCCACCTCGCTTCCTCCACTCCCCACGCTTCCTCCTCCTAAGGGCCATCCAGCCCTCCTCTCCCACCTCGCTTCCTCCACTCCCCACGCTTCCTCCTCCTAAGGGCCATCCAGCCCTCCTCTCCCACCTCGCTTCCTCCACTCCCCACGCTTCCTCCTCCTAAGGGCCATCCAGCCCTCCTCTCCCACCTCGCTTCCTCCACTTCCCACGCTTCCTCCTCTCAAGGGCCATCCAGCCCTACTCTCACACCTCGCTCCCTCCACTCCCCTCGCTTCCTCCTCCCAAGGGCCATCTAGCCCTCCTCTCCCACCTCGCTTCCTCCACTCCCCACGCTTCCTCCTCCTAAGGGCCATCTAGTCCTCCTCTCCCACCTCGCTTCCTCCACTCCCCACGCTTCCTCCTCCTAAGGGCCATCCAGCCCTCCTCTCCCACCTCGCTTCCTCCACTCCCCACGCTTCCTCCTCCTAAGGGCCATCCAGCCCTCCTCTCCCACCTCGCTTCCTCCACTTCCCACGCTTCCTCCTCTCAAGGGCCATCCAGCCCTACTCTCACACCTCGCTTCCTCCACTCCCCACGCTTCCTCCTCCCAAGGGCCATCTAGCCCTCCTCTCCCACCTCGCTTCCTCCACTCCCCACGCTTCCTCCTCCTAAGGGCCATCCAGCCCTCCTCTCCCACCTCGCTTCCTCCACTCCCCACGCTTCCTCCTCCTAAGGACCATCCAGCCCTCCTCTCCCACCTCGCTTCCTCCACTCCCCACGCTTCCTCCTCCTAAGGGCCATCCAGCCCTCCTCTCCCACCTCGCTTCCTCCACTCCCCACGCTTCCTCCTCCTAAGGGCCATCCAGCCCTCCTCTCCCACCTCGCTTCCTCCACTCCCCACGCTTCCTCCTCCTAAGGGCCATCCAGACCTCCTCTCCCACCTCGCTTCCTCCACTTCCCACGCTTCCTCCTCTCAAGGGCCATCCAGCCCTACTCTCACACCTCGCTCCCTCCACTCCCCTCGCTTCCTCCTCCCAAGGGCCATCTAGCCCTCCTCTCCCACCTCGCTTCCTCCACTCCCCACGCTTCCTCCACTCCCCACGCTTCCTCCTCCTAAGGGCCATCCAGCCCTCCTCTCCCACCTCGCTTCCTCCACTCCCCACGCTTCCTCCTCCTAAGGGCCATCCAGCCCTCCTCTCCCACCTCGCTTCCTCCACTTCCCACGCTTCCTCCTCTCAAGGGCCATCCAGCCCTACTCTCACACCTCGCTTCCTCCACTCCCCACGCTTCCTCCTCCCAAGGGCCATCTAGCCCTCCTCTCCCACCTCGCTTCCTCCACTCCCCACGCTTCCTCCTCCTAAGGGCCATCCAGCCCTCCTCTCCCACCTCGCTTCCTCCACTCCCCACGCTTCCTCCTCCTAAGGACCATCCAGCCCTCCTCTCCCACCTCGCTTCCTCCACTCCCCACGCTTCCTCCTCCTAAGGGCCATCCAGCCCTCCTCTCCCACCTCGCTTCCTCCACTCCCCACGCTTCCTCCTCCTAAGGGCCATCCAGCCCTCCTCTCCCACCTCGCTTCCTCCACTCCCCACGCTTCCTCCTCCTAAGGGCCATCCAGACCTCCTCTCCCACCTCGCTTCCTCCACTTCCCACGCTTCCTCCTCTCAAGGGCCATCCAGCCCTACTCTCACACCTCGCTCCCTCCACTCCCCTCGCTTCCTCCTCCCAAGGGCCATCTAGCCCTCCTCTCCCACCTCGCTTCCTCCACTCCCCACGCTTCCTCCTCCTAAGGGCCATCTAGCCCTCCTCTCCCACCTCGCTTCCTCCACTCCCCACGCTTCCTCCTCCTAAGGGCCATCCAGCCCTCCTCTCCCACCTCGCTTCTTCCACTCCCCATGCTTCCTCCTCCTAAGGGCCATCCAGCCCTCCTCTCCCACCTCGCTTCCTCCACTCCCCACGCTTCCTCCTCCCAAGGGCCATCCAGCCCTCCTCTCCCACCTCGCTTCCTCCACTCCCCTCGCTTCCTCCTCTTAAGGGCCATCCAGCCCCCCTCTCCCACCTCGCTTCCTCCACTCCCCACGCTTCCTCCTCCCAAGGGCCATCCAGCCCTCCTCTTCCACCTCGCTTCCTCCACTCCCCTCGCTTCCTCCTCCCTTCTCTCCAACCTCGCTTCCTCCACTCTCTTCGCTTCTTCCACTCCCCTCGCTTCCTCCACTCCCCGCGCTTCCTCCTCTATGGGGCGCCTCTCCTCTAAGAGGCGCCTCTCTTTTATGATGAGCCTATGAGGCTCCTCTCCTCTCCTCTCCTTTGTGATGTGAGGCGGGCGCCACTCCTCTGTGGTGTTAGGCGGGCGCCACTCCTCTGTGATGTGAGGCGGGCTCCACTCTTCTGTTGTGTGAGGCGGGCGCCACTCCTCTGTGGTGTGAGGTGGGCGCCACTCCTCTGTGGTGTGAGGCGGGCGCCACTCCTCTGTGGTGTGAGGCGGGCGCCACTCCTCTGTGGTGTGAGGCGGGCGCCACTCCTCTGTGGTGTGAGGCGGGCGCCACTCCTCTGTGGTGTGAGGCGGGCGCCACTCCTCTGTGGTGTGAGGCGGGCGCCACTCCTCTGTGGTGTGAGGCGGGCGCCACTCCTCTGTGGTGTGAGGCGGGCGCCACTCCTCTGTGGTGTGAGGCGGGCGCCACTCCTCTGTGGTGTGAGGCGGGCGCCACTCCTCTGTGGTGTGAGGCGGGCGCCACTCCTCTGTGGTGTGAGGCGGGCGCCACTCCTCTGTGGTGTGAGGCGGGCGCCACTCCTCTGTGGTGTGAGGCAGGCGCCACTCCTCTGTGGTGTGAGGCGGGCGCCACTCCTCTGTGGTGTGAGGCGGGCGCCACTCCTCTGTGGTGTGAGGCAGGCGCCACTCCTCTGTGATGTGAGGCGGGCGCCACTCCTCTGTGGTGTGAGGCGGGCGCCACTCCTCTGTGGTGTGAGGCGGGCGCCACTCCTCTGTGATGTGAGGCGGGCGCCACTCCTCTGTGGTGTGAGGCAGGCGCCACTCCTCTGTGGTGTGAGGCAGGCGCCACTCCTCTGTTGTGTGAGGGAGGCGCCACTCCTTAGTGATGTGAGGAGGGCGCCACTCCTCTGTGGTGTGAGGCGGGCGCCACTCCTCTGTGGTGTGAGGCGGGCGCCACTCCTCTGTGTTGTGAGGCGGGCGCCACTCCTCCTCTGAGATGTGAGGCGGGCGCCACTCCTCTGTGGTGTGAGGCGGGCGCCACTCCTCTGTGATGTGAGGCGGGCGCCACTCCTCTGTGGTGTGAGGCGGGCGCCACTCCTCTGTGATGTGAGGCGGGCGCCACTCCTCTGTGGTGTGAGGCAGGCGCCACTCCTCTGTGGTGTGAGGCAGGCGCCACTCCTCTGTGGTGTGAGGCGGGCGCCACTCCTCTTTGATGTGAGGCAGGCGCCACTCCTCTGTGGTGTGAGGCAGGCGCCACTCCTCTGTGATGTGAGGCGGGCGCCACTCCTCTGTGGTGTGAGGCGGGCGCCACTCCTCTGTGGTGTGAGGCGGGCGCCACTCCTCTGTGATGTGAGGCGGGTGCCACTCTGTGGTGTGAGGCAGGCGCCACTCCTCTGTGGTGTGAGGCGGGCGCCACTCCTCTGTGGTGTGAGGCGGGCGCCACTCCTCTGTGATGTGAGGCGGGCGCCACTCCTCTATGGTGTGAGGCGGGCGCCACTCCTCTGTGGTTTGAGGCCGACGCCACTCCTCTGTGTTGTGAGGCGGGCACCACTCCTCCTCTGAGATGTGAGGCGGGCGCCACTCCTCTGTGGTGTGAGGCGGGCGCCACTCCTCTGTGATGTGAGGCGGGCGCCACTACTCTGTGATGTGAGGCGGGCGCCACTCCTCTGTGGTGTGAGGCGGGCGCCACTCCTCTGTGGTGTGAGGCAGGCGCCACTCCTCTGTGGTGTGAGGAGGGCGCCACTCCTCTGTGGTGTGAGGCGGGTGCCACTCCTCCTCTGAGATGTGAGCGGAAGAGCGGAGGCCAAGGAGAAGTTTCTTGGAGGCCATGTCAGCAAGAGTGCGAAAATTTGGGTGCCCGAGTCGATTGTGATAGAGGATGGTTGGGTTGGAGAGGGTGCGACATGAGCATGGTGTGATAGTGGCTTGTGCTTGGGTGGTTGACACCTGTGGGAGAGGGACGCGTAGCGTGTAGAGGCCGTTGCTATTGAGGGTGTAGCGCGCAAGGGTTTTGTTGGTGCGTGGGTTGATGATGTCGCAATAGTTCTCGTTCTCGGGGAAGATGGTGCGTAGCCCCGCTTCCTGGATTTCCGTTTGGGCAACTAGATTGTGACGAAGTGAAGGCACGCACATGCCAGTGACAGTGCCGGATGGGAAGGCGGGGCATGGGACTGTGGAGGTACCCTTGGCGAGGGTGGTGAAGCTTGAGTCAGCTCCTAAGAGAGGGATAGGTGTTGGGTAAGGTTTGAAGGAGAGAGTCTCCTTGAGCACAGTGTGAGTGGCCCCGCTGTCGAGTGTGAACTCGATGTATTGTGGTGCTTGTGATGAGCCGATGTACTGTGAGGTAGCTTCATTAATCATGGCAGTGCCAGGGAACAACAGGTTGATACGCACATCAGAAGAAGCAGCATCACTAGTACTAGCCGAAGCGGGGTCCTGGGCCTCAACTAGGTTGGCCTTACGAGAGCGCATCCAATTCGGCGACTTCTTGTCAACTCCGTGGATGGCGTACCACTCGTCGTCTTTCTTCTTGAAGCACGTAGCAAGGGGGTGGTTAGTGCCACCACACACTTGTCCCTTGCGGTTGCCGTACTTGACGACGTAGGGGCACGGAGGAAAGCGGTTGCGCTGGAAGGGCGTCGAGGCGAGAGCCGCTGCGACACTTGCTTGAGGCATGGGAGCGCGGATAGCGTATGCCTTGGCCTGAGCAGTGGAATCTTTCTCAGCAGAGAGGAGTGCGGTGGAGACCTTAGCAAATGTGAGGTCTTCTGCTGAGAGTGTGAGGAGTATCTTCCTCGTGACTTCATAAGCCGAGGTGAGTCCAACAAGAAGGGCGGCTGCAGGGGCTTGCTCGGGGAAGACTATACCCAGCTCCTTGAGTTCGCCGTGGATGGTCTGCACCTTGGCAATGTAGTCGGCCATTCCCGAGCAGTCCTCAAGGCGGACCTGAAACATGCTAGGGATGAGAATGGCCACGCCGACCGCCGTCTTGTTCATGAACCGATCCTGGAGGTACTTCCAGATGGCGTTGGAGGTAGGGTAGTTATGGAACGTGTTGACAAGTTCGGGAGGGGTGGAGGCGATGAAGACGCTGATGATGGCAGCATCGGCCTTCTCCCATTTTCGGTACTTCTCAACAGCCTCCTCGTACGCCTTCACGTCAGTATCACTTGAAGATTCGGTCGGTTCACGGGGAAGAGTGGGCTGTTTCCCCTTGCCATGGTTGAGGAGGACGTCCTTGAGGTCAAGGCCCTGCACGTCACGGCTCAGGAGGTGCTTGTCAACTCCGTAGCTCCACGCCTTGAAGTTGGAGCTAGAGCCATCGGCTTCAAGGCGGAGCGGGATGATGGGGTTCGCCATGGTGGAAGACGAGAAAGCCATGGTGGAGACCCCTTAACTTCTCGCGCGGAGCGCCGCTCTTAAGTCACCGATAGGAACATGAGGTTTGGGGTCTCCAAAGGAGATTTTGAAGAATCGGAGGTTGAGGGTTTACGAAAGAGAATGTTGAGGTTTAGGGTTCCTGAAGGAGAATGTGACTGAGACGCCAATTTAGTGTCAACTACCTACTAATCCTATTCCCACACACCCCCCCACACACCACCCTCAGCTTCGCGGCTACGCTGCTGCTCGGCTTCGCGGCTACACGGCTGCTCGGCTTCGCGGCTACGCTGCTGCTCGGCTGCGTTGCTGCACCTGTTCAGCTGCGGGAAAGAGGGGGGATGGGGGTAGGAGTGCAGATGCGGGGCGACGGGCGGCAGCCCGAAGATGACGCTGCGGGGCGACGGGCGGCGGCCCGACGAGAAGCTGCAGGGCGACGGGCGGCAGCCCGACGAGAAGCTGCAGGGCGACGGGCGGCGGCCCGACGAGAAGCTGCAGGGCGACGGGCGGCGGCCCGACGAGGAGAAGAAGTGACGAGAGTGACGAATTGATGAAAACGAGTGTTAAGTTAGAGCACCGACGATGCGCTTACCAGAGAAGTTTCCGTCGATGGTGACGGGAAGATGTGGCGGGAGAAATTCCGCCGATGAATGTCGCGAATCAACGGCGACGAGATTGGCGATGGCTTCCCGAGGTTTGCGGGACAAGTATCCGCAGAGATGAGAGGATCACGATCCGCGTATGCGGTTGAGGTGCTCTGACACCATCTCAGAATCCCAGCCACTAGACCACTGGGATAAAATGGCTTGTTTAAGTAGCGGGTCAGTGCGCCCATAACCCACCAGGCAACCGTGCCTGTAACCCTTCCCTAGGATCAATCGGGGATCACCAGTGGACCTCTGACAGCGGGCACCACTCCTCTGTGGTGTGAGGCGGGCGCCACTCCTCTGTGGTGTGAGGCAGGTGCCACTCCTCTGTGGTGTGAGGCGGGCGCCACTTCTCTGTGGTGTGAGGCGGGCGCCACTCCTCTGTGGTGTGAGGCGGGCGCCACTCCTCCTCTGAGATGTGAGGCGGGCGCCACTCCTTTGTGGTGTGAGGCGGGCGCCACTCCTCCTCTGAGATGTGAGGCGGGCGCCACTCCTCTGTGGTGTGAGGCGGATGCCACTCCTCTGTGATGTGAGGCGGGCGCCACTCCTCTGTGATGTGAGGCGGGCGCCACTCCTCTGTGGTGTGAGGCGGGCGCCACTCCTCTGTGGTGTGAGGCGGGCGCCACTCCTCTGTGGTGTGAGGCAGGCGCCACTCCTCTGAGATGTGAGGCGGGCGCCACTCCTCTGTGGTGTGAGGCGGGCGCCACTCCTCTGTGGTGTGAGGCAGGCGCCACTCCTCTGTGGTGTGAGGTGGGCGCCACTCCTCTGTGGTGTGAGGCGGGCGCCACTCCTCCTCTGAGATATGAGGCGGGCGCCACTCCTCTGTGGTGTGAGGCGGGCGCCACTCCTCTGTGGTGTGAGGCAGGCGCCACTCCTCTGTGGTGTGAGGCGGGCGCCACTCCTTTGTGGTGTGAGGCGGGCGCCACTCCTCCTCTGAGATGTGAGGCGGGCGCCATCCTCTGTGGTGTGAGGCGGGCGCCACTCCTCTGTGGTGTGAGGAGGGCGCCACTCCTCTGTGGTGTGAGGCCGGTGCCACTCCTCCTCTGAGATGTGAGGCGGGCGCCACTCCTCTGTGGTGTAAGGCGGGCGCCACTCCTCTGTGGTGTGAGGCGGGCGCCACTCCTCTGTGATGTGAGGCGGGCGCCACTCCTCTGTGGTGTAAGGCAGGCGCCACTCCTCTGTGGTGTGAGGAGGGCGCCACTCCTCTGTGGTGTGAGGCCGGTGCCACTCCTCCTCTGAGATGTGAGGCGGGCGCCACTCCTCTGTGGTGTGAGGCGGGCGCCACTCCTCTGTGGTGTGAGGCAGGTGCCACTCCTCTGTGGTGTGAGGCGGGCGCCACTCCTGTGTGGTGTGAGGCGGGTGCCACTCCTCTTTGGTGTGAGGCGGGCGCCACTCCTCTGTGGTGTGAGGCGGGCGCCACTCCTCTGTGGTGTGAGGCGGGCGCCACTCCTCTGTGTTGTGAGGCGGGCGCCACTCCTCCTCTGAGATGTGAGGCGGGCGCCACTCCTCTGTGGTGTGAGGCGGGCGCCACTCCTCTGTGATGTGAGGCGGGCGCCACTCCTCTGTGGTGTGAGGCGGGCACCACTCCTCTGTGATGTGAGGCGGGCGCCACTCCTCTGTGGTGTGAGGCAGGCGCCACTCCTCTGTGGTGTGAGGCAGGCGCCACTCCTCTGTGGTGTGAGGCGGGCGCCACTCCTCTTTGATGTGAGGCAGGCGCCACTCCTCTGTGGTGTGAGGCAGGCGCCACTCCTCTGTGATGTGAGGCAGGCGCCACTCCTCTGTGGTGTGAGGCGGGCGCCACTCCTCTGTGGTGTGAGGCAGGCGCCACTCCTCTGTGGTGTGAGGCAGGCGCCACTCCTCTGAGGTGTGAGGCAGGCGCCACTCCTCTGTGGTGTGAGGTGGGCGCCACTCCTCTGTGATGTGAGGCGGGCGCCACTCCTCTGTGGTGTGAGGCGGGCGCCACTCCTCCTCTGAGATGTGAGGCGAGCGCCACTCCTTTGTGGTGTGAGGCGGGCGCCACTCCTCCTCTGAGATGTGAGGCGGGCGCCACTCCTCTGTGGTGTGAGGCGGGCGCCACTCCTCTGTGGTGTGAGGCGGGCGCCACTCCTCTGTGGTGTGAGGCGGGCGCCACTCCTCTGTGGTGTGAGGCAGGCGCCCCTCCTCTGTGGTGTGAGGCGGGCGCCACTCCTCCGTGGTGTGAGGCGGGCGTCACTCCTCTGAGATATGAGGAGGGCGCCACTCCTCTGTGGTGTGAGGCGGGCGCCACTCCTCTGTGGTGTGAGGCAGGCGCCACTCCTCTGTGGTGTGAGGCGGGCGCCACTCCTCTGTTGTGTGAGGCGGGCGCCACTCCTCTGTTGTGTGAGGCGGGCGCCACTCCTCTGTGGTGTGAGGCGGGCGCCACTCCTCTGTGGTGTGAGGCGGGCGCCACTCCTCCTCTGATATGTGAGGCGGGCGCCACTCCTCTGTGGTGTGAGGCGGGCGCCACTCCTCTGTGGTGTGAGGCAGGTGCCACTCCTCTGTGGTGTGAGGCGGGCGCCACTCCTCTGTGGTGTGAGGCGGGCGCCACTCCTCTGTGGTGTGAGGCGGGCGCCACTCCTCTGTGGTGTGAGGCGGGCGCCACTCCTCTGTGGTGTGAGGCGGGCGCGACTCCTCTGTGATGTGAGGCGGGCACCACTCCTCTGTGGTGTGAGGCGGGCGCCACTCCTCTGTGGTGTGAGGCGGGCGCCACTCCTCTGTGGTGTGAGGCGGGCGCCACTCCTCTGTGGTGTGAGGCGGGCGCCACTCCTCTGTGGTGTGAGGCGGGCGCCACTCCTCTGTGATGTGAGGCGGGCGCCACTCCTCTGTGGTGTGAGGCGGGCGCCACTCCTCTGTGGTGTGAGGCGGGCGCCACTCCTCTGTGGTGTGAGGCGGGCGCCACTCCTCTGTGGTGTGAGGCGGGCGCCACTCCTCCTCTGAGATGTGAGGCGGGCGCCATCCTCTGTGGTGTGAGGCGGGCGCCACTCCTCTGTGGTGTGAGGCGGGCGCCACTCCTCTGTGGTGTGAGGCGGGCGCCACTCCTCTGTGGTGTGAGGCGGGCGCCACTCCTCTGTGGTGTGAGGCGGGCGCCACTCCTCTGTGGTGTGAGGCGGGCGCCACTCCTCTGTGGTGTGAGGCGAGCGCCACTCCTCCTCTGAGATGTGAGGCGGGCGCCACTCCTCTGTGGTGTGAGGCGGGCGCCACTCCTCAGTGGTGTGAGGCAGGCGCCACTCCTCTGTGGTGTGAGGCGGGCGCCACTCCTCTGTGGTGTGAGGCGGGCGCCACTCCTCCTCTGAGATGTGAGGCGGGCGCCACTCCTCTGTGGTGTGAGGCGGGCGCCACTCCTCTGTGGTGTGAGGCTGGCGCCACTCCTCTGTGGTGTGAGGCGGGCGCCACTCCTCCTCTGAGATGTGAGGCGGGCGCCACTCCTCTGTGGTGTGAGGGGGGCGCCACTCCTCTGTGGTGTGAGGCAGGCGCCACTCCTCTGTGGTGTGAGGCGGGCGCCACTTCTCTGTGGTGTGAGGCGGGCGCCACTCCTCTGTGGTGTGAGGCGGGCGCCACTCCTCTGTGGTGTGAGGCGGGCGCCACTCCTCTGTGGTGTGAGGCGGGCGCCACTTCTCTGTGGTGTGAGGCGGGCGCCACTCCTCTGTGGTGTGAGGCGGGCGCCACTCCTCTGTGGTGTGAGGCGGGCGCCACTCCTCTGTGGTGTGAGGCGGGCGCCACTCCTCCTCTGAGATGTGAGGCGGGCGCCACTCCTCTGTGGTGTGAGGCGGGCGCCACTCCTCTGTGGTGTGAGGCAGGTGCCACTCCTCTGTGGTGTGAGGCGGGCGCCACTCCTCTGTGGTGTGAGGCGGGCGCCACTCCTCTGTGGTGTAAGGCGGGCGCCACTCCTCTGTGGTCTGAGGCGGGCGCCACTCCTCTGTGATGTGAGGCGGGCGCCACTCCTCTGTGGTGTAAGGCAGGCGCCACTCCTCTGTGGTGTGAGGAGGGCGCCACTCCTCTGTGGTGTGAGGCCGGTGCCACTCCTCCTCTGAGATGTGAGGCGGGCGCCACTCCTCTGTGGTGTGAGGCAGGCGCCACTCCTCTGTGGTGTGAGGCAGGTGCCACTCCTCTGTGGTGTGAGGCGGGCGCCACTCCTGTGTGGTGTGAGGCGGGCGCCACTCCTCTTTGGTGTGAGGCGGGCGCCACTCCTCTGTGGTGTGAGGCGGGCGCCACTCCTCTGTGGTGTGAGGCGGGCGCCACTCCTCTGTGTTGTGAGGCGGGCGCCACTCCTCCTCTGAGATGTGAGGCGGGCGCCACTCCTCTGTGGTGTGAGGCGGGCGCCACTCCTCTGTGATGTGAGGCGGGCGCCACTCCTCTGTGGTGTGAGGCGGGCGCCACTCCTCTGTGATGTGAGGCGGGCGCCACTCCTCTGTGGTGTGAGGCAGGCGCCACTCCTCTGTGGTGTGAGGCAGGCGCCACTCCTCTGTGGTGTGAGGCGGGCGCCACTCCTCTTTGATGTGAGGCAGGCGCCACTCCTCTGTGGTGTGAGGCAGGCGCCACTCCTCTGTGATGTGAGGCAGGCGCCACTCCTCTGTGGTGTGAGGCGGGCGCCACTCCTCTGTGGTGTGAGGCAGGCGCCACTCCTCTGTGGTGTGAGGCAGGCGCCACTCCTCTGAGGTGTGAGGCAGGCGCCACTCCTCTGTGGTGTGAGGTGGGCGCCACTCCTCTGTGATGTGAGGCGGGCGCCACTCCTCTGTGGTGTGAGGCGGGCGCCACTCCTCCTCTGAGATGTGAGGCGAGCGCCACTCCTTTGTGGTGTGAGGCGGGCGCCACTCCTCCTCTGAGATGTGAGGCGGGCGCCACTCCTCTGTGGTGTGAGGCGGGCGCCACTCCTCTGTGGTGTGAGGCGGGCGCCACTCCTCTGTGGTGTGAGGCGGGCGCCACTCCTCTGTGGTGTGAGGCAGGCGCCCCTCCTCTGTGGTGTGAGGCGGGCGCCACTCCTCCGTGGTGTGAGGCGGGCGTCACTCCTCTGAGATATGAGGCGGGCGCCACTCCTCTGTGGTGTGAGGCGGGCGCCACTCCTCTGTGGTGTGAGGCAGGCGCCACTCCTCTGTGGTGTGAGGCGGGCGCCACTCCTCTGTTGTGTGAGGCGGGCGCCACTCCTCTGTTGTGTGAGGCGGGCGCCACTCCTCTGTGGTGTGAGGCGGGCGCCACTCCTCTGTGGTGTGAGGCGGGCGCCACTCCTCCTCTGAGATGTGAGGCGGGCGCCACTCCTCTGTGGTGTGAGGCGGGCGCCACTCCTCTGTGGTGTGAGGCAGGTGCCACTCCTCTGTGGTGTGAGGCGGGCGCCACTCCTCTGTGGTGTGAGGCGGGCGCCACTCCTCTGTGGTGTGAGGCGGGCGCCACTCCTCTGTGGTGTGAGGCGGGCGCCACTCCTCTGTGGTGTGAGGCGGGCGCCACTCCTCTGTGGTGTGAGGCGGGCGCGACTCCTCTGTGGTGTGAGGCGGGCGCGACTCCTCTGTGATGTGAGGCGGGCGCCACTCCTCTGTGGTGTGAGGCGGGCGCCACTCCTCTGTGGTGTGAGGCGGGCGCCACTCCTCCTCCGAGATGTGAGGCGGGCGCCACTCCTCTGTGGTGTGAGGCGGGCGCCACTCCTCTATGGTGTGAGGCGGGCGCCACTCCTCTTTGGTGTGAGGCGGGCGCCACTCCTCCTCTGAGATGTGAGGCGGGCGCCACTCCTCTGTGGTGTGAGGCGGGCGCCACTCCTCTGTGGTGTGAGGCGGGCGCCACTCCTCTGTGGTGTGAGGCGGGCGCCACTCCTCCTCTGAGATGTGAGGCGGGCGCCATCCTCTGTGGTGTGAGGCGGGCGCCACTCCTCTGTGGTGTGAGGCGGGCGCCACTCCTCTGTGGTGTGAGGCGGGCGCCACTCCTCTGTGGTGTGAGGCGGGCGCCACTCCTCTGTGGTGTGAGGCGGGCGCCACTCCTCTGTGGTGTGAGGCGGGCGCCACTCCTCTGTGGTGTGAGGCGAGCGCCACTCCTCCTCTGAGATGTGAGGCGGGCGCCACTCCTCTGTGGTGTGAGGCGGGCGCCACTCCTCAGTGGTGTGAGGCAGGCGCCACTCCTCTGTGGTGTGAGGCGGGCGCCACTCCTCTGTGGTGTGAGGCGGGCGCCACTCCTCCTCTGAGATGTGAGGCGGGCGCCACTCCTCTGTGGTGTGAGGCGGGCGCCACTCCTCTGTGGTGTGAGGCTGGCGCCACTCCTCTGTGGTGTGAGGCGGGCGCCACTCCTCCTCTGAGATGTGAGGCGGGCGCCACTCCTCTGTGGTGTGAGGGGGGCGCCACTCCTCTGTGGTGTGAGGCAAGCGCCACTCCTCTGTGGTGTGAGGCGGGCGCCACTTCTCTGTGGTGTGAGGCGGGCGCCACTCCTCTGTGGTGTGAGGCGGGCGCCACTCCTCTGTGGTGTGAGGCGGGCGCCACTCCTCTGTGGTGTGAGGCGGGCGCCACTTCTCTGTGGTGTGAGGCGGGCGCCACTCCTCTGTGGTGTGAGGCGGGCGCCACTCCTCTGTGGTGTGAGGCGGGCGCCACTCCTCTGTGGTGTGAGGCGGGCGCCACTCCTCCTCTGAGATGTGAGGCGGGCGCCACTCCTCTGTGGTGTGAGGCGGGCGCCACTCCTCTGTGGTGTGAGGCAGGTGCCACTCCTCTGTGGTGTGAGGCGGGCGCCACTCCTCTGTGGTGTGAGGCGGGCGCCACTCCTCTGTGGTGTAAGGCGGGCGCCACTCCTCTGTGGTGTGAGGCGGGCGCCACTCCTCTGTGATGTGAGGCGGGCGCCACTCCTCTGTGGTGTAAGGCAGGCGCCACTCCTCTGTGGTGTGAGGAGGGCGCCACTCCTCTGTGGTGTGAGGCGGGTGCCACTCCTCCTCTGAGATGTGAGGCGGGCGCCACTCCTCTGTGGTGTGAGGCGGGCGCCACTCCTCTGTGGTGTGAGGCAGGTGCCACTCCTCTGTGGTGTGAGGCGGGCGCCACTCCTCTGTGGTGTGAGGCGGGCGCCACTCCTCTTTGGTGTGAGGCGGGCGCCACTCCTCCTCTGAGATGTGAGGCGGGCGCCACTCCTCTGTGGTGTGAGGCGGGCGCCACTCCTCTGTGGTGTGAGGCAGGCGCCACTCCTCTGTGGTGTGAGGCAGGCGCCACTCCTCTGTGGTGTGAGGCGGGCGCCACTCCTCTGTAATGTGAGGCGGGCGCCACTCCTCTGTGGTGTGAGGCAGGCGCCACTCCTCTGTGGTGTGAGGCGGGCGCCACTCCTCTGTGGTGTGAGGCTGGCGCCACTCCTCTGTGGTGTGAGGCGGGCGCCACTCCTCTGTGGTGTGAGGCGGGCGCCACTCCTCCTCTGAGATGTGAGGCGGGCGCCACTCCTCTGTGGTGTGAGGCGGGCGCCACTCCTCTGTGGTGTGAGGCGGGCGCCACTTCTCTGTGGTGTAAGGCGGGCGCCACTCCTCCTCTGAGATGTGAGGCGGGCGCCACTCCTCTGTGGTGTGAGGCGGGCGCCACTCCTCTGTGGTGTGAGGCAGGCGCCACTCCTCTGTGGTGTGAGGCGGGCGCCACTCCTCTGTGGTGTGAGGTGGGCGCCACTCCTCTGTGATGTGAGGCGGGCGCCACTCCTCTGTGGTGTGAGGCGGGCGCCACTCCTCTGTGGTGTGAGGCGGGCGCCACTCCTCTGTGGTGTGAGGCGGGCGCCACTCCTCTGTGGTGTGAGGCGGGCGCCACTCCTCTGTGGTGTGAGGCGGGCGCCACTCCTCTGTGGTGTGAGGCGGGCGCCACTCCTCTGTGGTGTGAGGCGGGCGCCACTCCTCTGTGGTGTGAGGCGGGCGCCACTCCTCCTCTGAGATGTGAGGCGGGCGCCACTCCTCTGTGGTGTGAGGCGGGCGCCACTCCTCCTCTGAGATGTGAGGCGGGCGCCACTCCTCTGTGGTGTGAGGCGGACGCCACTCCTCTGTGATGTGAGGCGGGCGCCACTCCTCTGTGGTGTGAGGCGGGCGCCACTCCTCTGTGGTGTGAGGCGGGCGCCACTCCTCTGTGGTGTGAGGCAGGCGCCACTCCTCTGTGGTGTGAGGCGGGCGCCACTCCTCTGTGGTGTGAGGCGGGCGCCACTCCTCCTCTGAGATGTGAGGCGGGCGCCACTCCTCTGTGGTGTGAGGCGGGCGCCACTCCTCTGTGGTGTGAGGCAGGCGCCACTCCTCTGAGGTGTGAGGCGGGCGCCACTCCTCTGTGGTGTGAGGCGGGCGCCACTCCTCTGTGATGTGAGGCGGGCGCCACTCCTCTGTGGTGTGAGGCGGGCGCCACTCCTCTGTGGTGTGAGGCGGGCGCCACTCCTCTGTGGTGTGAGGCGGGCGCCACTCCTCCTCTGAGATGTGAGGCGGGCGCCACTCCTCTGTGGTGTGAGGCGGGCGCCACTCCTCTGTGGTGTGAGGTAGGCGCCACTCCTCTGTGGTGTGAGGCAGGCGCCACTCCTCTGTGGTGTGAGGCGGGCGCCACTCCTCTGTGATGTGAGGCGGGCGCCACTCCTCTGTGGTGTGAGGCGGGCGCCACTCCTCTGTGGTGTGAGGCGGGCGCCACTCCTCTGTGGTGTGAGGCGGGCGCCACTCCTCTGTGGTGTGAGGCGGGCGCCACTCCTCCTCTGAGATGTGAGGCGGGCGCCACTCCTCTGTGGTGTGAGGCGGGCGCCACTCCTCTGTGGTGTGAGGCAGGCGCCACTCCTCTGTGGTGTGAGGCGGGCGCCACTCCTCTGTGGTGTGAGGCGGGCGCCACTCCTCTGTGGTGTGAGGCGGGCGCCACTCCTCTGTGGTGTGAGGCAGGCGCCACTCCTCTCTGGTGTGAGGCGGGCGCCACTCCTCCTCTGAGATGTGAGGCGGGCGCCACTCCTCTGTGGTGTGAGGCGGACGCCACTCCTCTGTGATGTGAGGCGGGCGCCACTCCTCTGTGATGTGAGGCGGGCGCCACTCCTCTGTGGTGTGAGGCGGGCGCTACTCCTCTGTGGTGTGAGGCGGGCGCCACTCCTCTGTGGTGTGAGGCGGGCGCCACTCCTCTGTGGTGTGAGGCGGGCGCCACTCCTCTGTGGTGTGAGGCGGGCGCAACTCCTCTGTGGTGTGAGGCGGGCGCCACTCCTCTGTGGTGTGAGGCGGGCGCCACTCCTCTGTGGTGTGAGGCGGGCGCCACTCCTCTGTGGTGTGAGGCGGGCGCCACTCCTCTGTGGTGTGAGGCGGGCGCCACTCCTCTGTGGTGTGAGGCGGGCGCCACTCCTCTGTGGTGTGAGGCGGGCGCCACTCCTCCTCCGAGATGTGAGGCGGGCGCCACTCCTCTGTGGTGTGAGGCGGGCGCCACTCCTCTATGGTGTGAGGCGGGCGCCACTCCTCTTTGGTGTGAGGCGGGCGCCACTCCTCCTCTGAGATGTGAGGCGGGCGCCACTCCTCTGTGGTGTGAGGCGGGCGCCACTCCTCTGTGGTGTGAGGCAGGCGCCACTCCTCTGTGGTGTGAGGTGGGCGCCACTCCTCTCTGGTGTGAGGCGGGCGCCACTCCTCTGTGGTGTGAGGCAGGCGCCTCTCCTCTGTGGTATGAGGCAGGCGCCACTCCTCTGTGGTGTAAGGCAGGCGCCACTCCTCTGTGGTGTGAGGCGGGCGCCACTCCTCTGTGGTGTGAGGCGGGCGCCACTCCTCTGTGGTGTGAGGCGGGCGCCACTCCTCTGTGGTGTGAGGCGGGCGCCACTCCTCTGTGGTTTGAGGCGGGCGCCACTCCTCCTTGGTGTGAGGCGGGCGCCACTCCTCCTCTGAGATGTGAGGCGGGCGCCACTCCTCTGTGGTGTGAGGCGGGCGCCACTCTTCTGTGGTGTGAGGCGGGCGCCACTCCTCTGTGGTGTGAGGCGGGCGCCACTCCTCTGTGGTGTGAGGCGGGCGCCACTCCTCTGTGGTGTGAGGCAGGCGCCACTCCTCTGTGGTGTGAGGCGGGCGCCACTCCTCTGTGGTGTGAGGCGGGCGCCACTCCTCTGTGGTGTGAGGCCGGCGCCACTCCTCTGTGGTGTGAGGCGGGCGCCACTCCTCTGTGGTGTGAGGCGGGCGCCACTCCTCTGAGATGTGAGGCGGGCGCCACTCCTCTGTGGTGTGAGGCGGGCGCCACTCCTCTGTGGTGTGAGGCGGGCGCCACTCCTCTGTGGTGTGAGGTAGGCGCCACTCCTCTGTGGTGTGAGGCGGGCGCCACTCCTCTGTGGTGTGAGGCGGGCGCCACTCCTCCTCTGAGATGTGAGGCGGGCGCCACTCCTCTGTGGTGTGAGGCGGGCGCCACTCCTCTGTGGTGTGAGGCGGGCGCCACTCCTCTGTGGTGTGAGGCGGGCGCCACTCCTCTGTGGTGTGAGGCGGGCGCCACTCCTCTGTGGTGTGAGGCAGGTGCCACTCCTCTGTGGTGTGAGGCGGGCGCCACTCCTCTGTGGTGTGAGGCGGCGCCACTCCTCTGTGGTGTGAGGCGGGCGCCAATCCTCCTCTGAGATGTGAGGCGGGCGCCACTCCTCTGTGGTGTGAGGCGGGCGCAACTCCTCCTCTGAGATGTGAGGCGGGCGCCACTCCTCTGTGGTGTGAGGCGGGCGCCACTCCTCTGTGATGTGAGGCGGGCGCCACTCCTCTGTGGTGTGAGGCGGGCGCCACTCCTCTGTGGTGTGAGGCGGGCCCCACTCCTCTGTGGTGTGAGGCGGGCGCCACTCCTCTGTGGTGTGAGGCGGGCGCCACTCCTCTGTGGTGTGAGGCAGGCGCCACTCCTGTGTGGTGTGAGGCAGGCGCCACTCCTCTGTGGTGTGAGGCAGGCGCCACTCCTCTGTGGTGTGAGGCGAGCGCCACTCCTCTGGTGTGAGGCGGGCGCCACTCCTCTGTGGTGTGAGGCGGGCGCCACTCCTCTGTGGTGTGAGGCGGGCGCCACTCCTCTGTGGTTTGAGGCGGGCGCCACTCCTCTGTGGTGTGAGGCGGGCGCCACTCCTCCTCTGAGATGTGAGGCGGGCGCCACTCCTCTGTGGTGTGAGGCGGGCGCCACTCCTCTGTGGTGTGAGGCAGGCGCCACTCCTCTGTGGTGTGAGGCGGGCGCCACTCCTCTGTGGTGTGAGGCGGCGCCACTCCTCTGTGGTGTGAGGCGGGCGCCAATCCTCTTCTGAGATGTGAGGCGGGCGCCACTCCTCTGTGGTGTGAGGCGGGCGCCACTCCTCCTCTGAGATGTGAGGCGGGCGCCACTCCTCTGTGGTGTGAAGCGGACGCCACTCCTCTGTGATGTGAGGCGGGCGCCACTCCTCTGTGATGTGAGGCAGGTGCCACTCCTCTGTGGTGTGAGGCGGGCGCCACTCCTCTGTGGTGTGAGGCGGGCGCCACTCCTCTGTGGTGTGAGGCGGGCGCCACTCCTCTGTGGTGTGAGGCGGGCGCCACTCCTCCTCTGAGATGTGAGGCGGGCGCCACTCCTCTGTGGTGTGAGGCAGGTGCCACTCCTCTGTGGTGTGAGGCGGACGCCACTCCTCTGAGATGTGAGGCGGGCGCCACTCCTCTGTGGTGTGAGGTAGGCGCCACTCCTCTGTGGTGTGAGGCGGGCGCCACTCCTCTGTGGTGTGAGGCGGGCGCCACTCCTCCTCTGAGATGTGAGGCGGGCGCCACTCCTCTGTGGTGTGAGGCGGGCGCCACTCCTCTGTGGTGTGAGGCGGGCGCCACTCCTCTGTGGTGTGAGGTAGGCGCCACTCCTCTGTGGTGTGAGGCGGGCGCCACTCCTCTGTGGTGTGAGGCGGGCGCCACTCCTCCTCTGAGATGTGAGGCGGGCGCCACTCCTCTGTGGTGTGAGGCGGGCGCCACTCCTCTGTGGTGTGAGGCGGGCGCCACTCCTCTGTGGTGTGAGGCGGGCGCCACTCCTCTGTGGTGTGAGGCGGGCGCCACTCCTCTGTGGTGTGAGGCGGGCGCCACTCCTCTGTGGTGTGAGGCGGGCGCCACTCCTCTGTGGTGTGAGGCGGGCGCCACTCCTCTGTGGTGTGAGGCAGGCGCCACTCCTCTGTGGTGTGAGGCAGGCGCCACTCCTCTGTGGTGTGAGGCGGGCGCCACTCCTCTGTGATGTGAGGCGGGCGCCACTCCTCTGTGGTGTGAGGCGGGCGCCACTCCTCTGTGGTGTGAGGCGGGCGCCACTCCTCTGTGATGTGAGGCGGGTGCCACTCCTCTGTGGTGTGAGGCAGGCGCCACGCCACTCCTCTGTGGTGTGAGGCGGGCGCCACTCCTCTTTAATGTGAGGCAGCCGCCACTCCTCTGTGGTGTGAGGCGGGCGCCACTCCTCTGTGGTGTGAGGCAGGCGCCACTCCTCTGTGGTGTGAGGCGGGCCCCACTCCTCTGTGATGTGAGGCGGGCGCCACTCCTCTGTGGTGTGAGGCGGGCGCCACTCCTCTGTGATGTGAGGCGGGCGCCACTCCTCTGTGATGTGAGGCGGGCGCCACTCCTCTGTGGTGTGAGGCGGGCGCCACTCCTCTGTGATGTGAGGCGGGCGCCACTCCTCTGTGAAGCACCTCTCCTCTAAGGGACGCCGCTTGCATGCATCCCGGTGCATGCAACCCCAGCAAGCAACCCTCTGCATCCAACCCCCTGCATGCAACCCCTGCATGTAACCCCCCGCACCTAATCCCTTTTTTACTTCGTTCCCCTCTAACATTTTATTTGCTAGTCTCCTCATTAATCTTCAACCTAATCTTCCATTTCTTATGCTCTCTTTTGCCATACCTCCCTGTCTGTCACCGAACCCAAAAGGCTCTAGCTTAGGACCAGCTGCGAGCACTGCATGCGTTGGTGGGTTGGGACGGGGGAGAAAACGGAGCAGATGATATGGGCGAGGGCAGTGGAACAATGCTGGGGGCTGGCAATAAGACAGAAGCTGACGTGGCAGGGGAGAGGCAGGAAAGAGATGTGTGTGGGGAGAGGGGGAGGAGTGCGGAGGGGCAAGTGGCAGTAGAAGGGCAGTTGAGGAGGGTGGGAGAGGAGATGGCGATATATGATGGTGACACTGCCCATGCTGCTCGGCGGGTCATCTGTCACTGAATATCATGGTAAGAGCATTATATTCTGTAACTGTTCTAACTGGGGTGTAGAAGCAGTGTAGTAATTGTCATTCAGTTTGTGCACTAGGTAGTTGGGACATTGGGAGAAGCGCGAAGTTGGTAGTATGGGGGATTGCAAGGCGCTGCGGGCACAATTCCAGGGCCATCGAGAGACAGGAAATCGGGCACGAGGCCAAACGAGAGAACTGTTAAAATACATTGTGTAGCATGCCAACACATGTGACTGTACGCCAATTGTGGTGTACAGTTGGGTTGGGACTACACCCAACTTTGGGTGTAGTCTTGCACTTTGGGGTGCCAATCCACCCAATTGTGGTGGAGCCCCCAAATGCAACCCTCTTGACTTGTGGGTACCTCACTTCCCACAATTGAGGCTTCCCCAAGCCAAGTGGGCCTAGGGTTGCCTCACTTCTACAAAGTATGGGCAACCCAACCCACTTGACCAATGGTTCCCTCACTTCCCAAAGTGAGGTCAACCCAACCCATGGTCACTTTGATCCTTCCCTTCCATTCTTCTCTTCCAACCTTCTCTTCCAAACTATGTATGCTAGGTTGTGACTCTAATTCAATTACTTGTTCAATCCACAATCTTCACATGGTATAGAGCTAGTTGTTCCTAAGCCTTTTTGTTTTCCCTCCCTTCAAGTCTTCTTTTTTTCCATGGGCCCACCCCACAGCCACAAACCCCCTACGTGTGGCTCAACCTAGCACCCCCGTGGCACGACCTACGCCGTCGCCACTCTTCACTCCCCCCTTTTTTTTTTTTTTTTTTTTTTCCCGCCGCCGCGCCTTCTCTGGCGCCGCCTGCGCATCCCGCCGCGACGCCTCGTCGCCGCCTCCTCCTCCCCCTGCAGCGACCCCCCCGTCGCCGTCTCCCTCCCGCCGCCGCGCCTACTTCGGCGTCGCCCGCGCATCCCTCCGCCACGACACCCCTTCGTCGCCTGCCCCTCCCACTGCCACGAAGTCGCGTCGCCGCCCCCCCCCCTACCGCCGTCGCGCCTCCCTCGGCGCCGCCTGCGCATCCCGCCGTCGCGACGCCTCGTCGCCGCCTCACCCCACCGCCGCCGCGCCTTCCTCGGCGCCGCCTGCGCATCCCGCTGTCACGACGCCTCGTCGCCGCCCCCCCCCCCCCCCCCCCCCCCCTACCGCCGCCGCGCCTTCCTCGGCGCCGCCTGCGCATTCCGCCTTCGCGACGCCTCGTCGCCGCCTCCCCCTACCGCCGCCGCGCCTTCCTCGGCGCCGCCTGCGCCTCCCGCCGTCGCGACGCCCCGTCGTCGCCTCCCGTCCCGCCGCCGCGACTTTGCGTCGCCGCCTGCGCTCCCCATCGCCGCGACCCCCCCCCCCCCGTCGCCGCCTACGCATCCCGCCCCCGCGACCCGCTCGTCGCCGCCTACACGATCCGCCGCCGCGACTTCGCGTCGTCGCCTACGCATCCCACCGCCGCGACCTTCTCGTCGCCGCTTGCACGACCCGCCGCCGCGACTTCGCGTCGCCGCCTGCACATCTCGTCGCCGCAACCTTCTTCCCGCCGCGACCTTAAGTCACCGCCCGCGCGACCGTTTGCCGTGACCTGCTCGTCGCCGCCCGCACATCTCATCTCCGCGACCTAAAAATCGCCGCCCCTGCATCTTACCTCCGCGCCTTCCTCGTCACCACCCGCGCATCCCGCCACCGCGCCTTCCTCGTAGCAGCCGCCTCATCCCTCAGCAACGGCATCACTGGCAGCAACAGCCCCGCCCACACCTACACCTGCGTTCTCCCTCCCACTCCCCCCCCCCGTTTTTTCTCTTTCCCCCCCCCCTCTCCTCCCACGCAGCAGCAGCCGGGACACCTCAGCAGCCACAGCAGCGGCAGCGGCAGCAGCAGCAGCAGCGGCAGCAGCGGCAGCAGCCGCGGCAGCAGCGGCAGCAGCGCAGCAGCGGCAGCAGAGGCAGTGGCGGCACCAGCTGCATTCCTCCTCTCCCTCTCCCTCCTCTCCTCCCCCTCCGAAGCAGCAGCGGCAGCAGCGGCAGCAGCAGCAGCAGCGGCAGCAGCGGCAGCAGCGGCAGCAGCGGCGGCAGCAGCAGCAGCAACGCAGCAGCGGCAGCAGCGGCAGTGGCGGCACCAGCTGCATTCCTCCTCTCCCTCTCCCTCCTCTCCTCCCCCTCCGAAGCAGCAGCGGCAGCAGCGGCAGCGGCAGCAGCAGCAGCAGCGGCAGCAGCGTCGGCAGCAGCGGCAGTGGCGGCACCAGCTGCATTCCTCCTCTCCCTCCCCCTCCTCCCCTCCCCCCCCCCCCTCCCCCCTCCCTCCTCCCTCAGCAGCGGCAGCAGCGGCAGCACCACCAGCAGCGGCAGCACCAGCAGCAGCGGCAGCAGCAGCAGCAGCAGCCGAAGCAGACCTCCACTCCCCGCAGCAGCACCCCCCCTCCCCCTTCCCCCCGCCCTCCTCCCTCTCGGCTGCCGCACTCGTCCACCCGCCGTCGCCCTCCCCCTTAACCGCCGCGGGTCCACCCGCCGCCGTTCACCTCTAGGCCGCCGCGGGTCCACCCGCCGTCGCCCTTCATGGCTACCACTCCTCCCCCTCTCCCCCCTCCCATTGACGCCTCCTCCGTCGACAAGCTTCAACTTGCCGCGGACCGCTCGGCGATCAACTGACATTCCTTCGTCGGGAGCATCCGCCGTGTTCTCCAAGATGCATTCGTCGGACCTTACTGCGTCATCGACATCCTCCTCCGCCGCCCGCAAGCCCTCCAGCCCACAGCACCCATTCACCCCGGCGAACCCCCTCCACCCCCCATTCCTCCTGGTCCTCCTCCCACTGAACCCACCTTGGAAATCGCCACTACCCCGGCGCTCCAAGATGCCGCCGATGCCGCATTTCTCCACGATCGCCGCGAATACCTCATCCGCAAGGCGGAGTATGAAGTTGCGGTACACAACCACGACTTCGCGGTAGCGGAACGCGCCAATCGCCTGGCGCTCCTTGATGAGTACAATACGGCCATGGCGGACTACCTCCCTCGGAGCATCGCATGGGCCACTGCTGATAACCGCGCCTGCACCGTCCTCCTTGGCGCACTCCCTGGTACCCTTATGCGCCGTTTCCAAGCTCGCGAGATGCGCTCCTCCCTCATCTGGACCGAGCTCCAGGCGATGTTCGAGCGTCGCGACATCAGCTCTGTCGGCGCCCTGTTCCAAGAGTACTTCTCCATCACCCTCGCCACCTGTGATGGCGCAGTTGACTATGTGGGGCGCATGCAGGAGGTCGCTGATCGCCTTGCGGCACGCCAAGCTGCCCTCCCCGAGCCCCTGCAAATCCACCGCCTCCTCTACAACCTCACCCCGGACTACGAGTCCCGCCTCCATGCCTTCACTGAGGCCAACCCCATGGCCGGTCTCGATGACGTGGTCCAGTGGATCATTGACACGGAGGTCAAGCTACGTACCCCCGTTGTCAACCTTACCACCCCTCAGTCCTCCTCCTCCACCTCCCTCAACGCTACGCAGCCGCGCAACCAGGGTGGTCGCAGCGGCGGCGGCGGAGGCCGTGGAGCGGGTGGCGGTGGTGGTGGTGGAGGCCGTGGTGGTGGCGGTGGTGGTAGTGGTGGCCGTGGTGGCCGTGGTGCCGGTGGAGGTGGTGCTGGCAGCACCCCTGGTGGAGGACCTTCCGGTTCTGGTGGTGCTGTGACTCGAGGCGGACGCCCTGGCACTCTCCCCCCATGCACATATGTGCGCCGCCATGGTCCCCATGCTGGTACCCCTTGCGGCCAGACCAACCATCCTCCCACCACGTGCTTTAAGGCACTTGACGACGCCTGGTTTGATCGAGGCAACACTGGCACCCCTCCTCGCTGGAACTCGGTCTCACCTCGCCCCTCCTTAGTTGATATTCAAACCCTCCCCTCTTTCCTCCCTGCTCACCTCCGCATGGTTACCCCCTCCCCACCCTCCCAGCTGCAGCAGTTCCAGCAGCACCAGCAACAGCAACACCTGTACTTCCAGCAGCAGCAGCAGCCGCAGTTTCTTCAGCCCCAGCAGCCGCCGCCGCCGCAGTTCTTCCAGCCACCGCCGCAGCAGCAGCAGCAGTTCCTTTCCCCACCCTGGCAGCAGCAGCCACTCACCTTCGGCACGGCGGCCATGGCCGCTCATACCTCCCTTCCTCCTCCTCCCCGCTGGGGTTCCCTCCCCTCCCCCCCCCCCAAGTGTTCCCGACTCTTCCGGTAGTTTCCTCGGTAATATCAGTGTTGCACCGTCTGTCGCTGCCATGTATCCCTCTGCTATCAATGAGACTTCGTTTCAGTATCCCGTCCCACCCCCTCCTCCCTCTTCTCCCACCCTGGACTTTGTCCTTGACAGTGGAGCCACTGAAACCGCACTGAAAGATGCTGGCACTCTCACCCCACTACCACTTCCCACTCAGGTTCATGGAGCTGATTCCAGCTTTTCCATTCCATGCACTCACCTTTCCACCCTCCCTTGCTCTGCCTTCCCCTCCGGTAAGGTCACAGGTCTCCACATCCCCATTCTCCGCAACAACCTCCTCTCCCACCGTGAGCTCCAAGGTGTTGGTATCACTGCCATTTACCCCGGTCATGCCACTTACTGTGATCTCTACCAGACCTCCTCCGGTCGCTTCCTTCTCCGTATTCCGCTTTGCCCCCGCACTCGCCTCTACACACTCCGCACACCTCGCACATCTTTTTGCCACGTCACCACTCGTGCCGGTGCTTCCACCGGTCCACGTCCTCCTCCTTTACTCCCCCCTTCCCCTCCCACTCAAGTAACCTCTTCTCCCTCCCCACCATCCTCCTCCTCCCCTCCCGTTCCTTCCTGTACCCCATCTCCCTCCTCCTCCGCTGCCCTCTCCCACCCTGCTGTCCTCTTACACCACAGACTCGGCCATCCCAACTTCACCGCCCTTCGCACCACAGTCACCTCTCGCCTCCTCCGCAGCCTTCCTCCCGTCTTACCTCCCCTCCCCTCCTCCCCCTCTCCCCCATGCCCTTCATGCATTCACGGCAAGCTCAAGCAGTCCCCACACCACAGTCATCCCACCTTCGTCGCTGCCCCCATTGACCTTGTGCACATGGACCTCTGGGGCCCCTATCCCATCCGCTCCCGCCAGGGGCATCGATACATGCTCGTCCTCGTTGACGACCACAGCCGGTACTCCACCACCTTCTTCCTTCACACGAAAGACCAGGTGCCGGCAGTGGTCATCAACTGGGCCGAACAGTGCCGCAATCACTTCAAACGCCCCATCGGCCGCCTTCACTCTGATGGTGGGGGTGAGTTCATCAACAACACCCTTGCCACATACTGCGCCACCTACGGCATCCAAAAGACCTCCACCCTTCCCCACTCCCCTCAGCAGAACGGCATTGCTGAAAGCCGCATTCGTGAGATCACCAAGATTGCTCGCTGTCTCATTGCTCATGCCTCCACCCCTCCTTCCCTCTGGAGCTATGCCCTCCTCCACGCCGCCCTTCTCCTTAATCTCCGCTCCCACCCTCAGCATCCTTCCTCCTCCCCTACAGAGCTTTGGTCCAACGCCAAACCCGACGCTGCAGGCCTTCGCGTTTGGGGCTGCAAGGCATTCGTTCTTATCCCACCCGCCGACCGCTCCCACGCCGCTGGCAAACTTGCTCCTCGCGCCCTGGAATGCGTTTACCTTGGTCACAATCGCGACTCCCCAGGCTACCTCTTCCTCCACCCTCCCACCAATCGCCTCATCCGCAGCGGCGACGTCGTCTTCGACGAATCTGTCCCCTATTACTCCACTCCTCCCCCTGATCCCCTCCCTCCTCCCACTCGTCCTCTTGCTTGGACCGACACCGTCCTCCCGCCCCTTCTCCCTCCAGCCCCTCTCCTCCCACCCGTCGCAGCTCCGCTCCCGCCCTCCTCCTCCGCCGATGTCTACGACCCTGACGCACCCGCCTCCCCCGCTCACTCGGCCGCACCCCCTCCCCCCCCTCCCTCCCCCTCTCCCTCTCCCTCCTTCCAGCAGCCGGATCAGCAGCAGCAGCAGCAGCAGCAGCAGCAGCAGCAGCAGCAGCAACAAGGACAGCAGCCGGGGCAGCAGCAGCAGCAGCAGCCGGGACAGCAACAGCAGCAGCAGCCAGTCCAGCAGCAGCAGCAGCAGCCGGGACAGCAGCACCAGCAGCAGCGGCAGCCGGGACAGCAGCAGCAGCAGCAGCCCCAGCAGCCGCAGCACCAACACGGTCAGCCACAGCCGCAGCTACATGGGCAGCAGCTTCAGCAGCACCAGCGGCAGCAGCGGCGTCGAGCCACCTCCCGTTCATCCCCCTTCCTCCTCCCTTACATCCATACCCGCTCTGTGGACAAAATCCTTGGGGCTCCTCCTCCTGCCTCCATTCAGCTCCTTGAGGACTCCCATGAGGAGTTTCTTAACATTCGGGAGCACTCTCCATTCCTTGCCGCCCTCTACCTTGACTTCCTGGGCTTTCCCGTCCTTGGCGCCACCACTACCCCCACCATCTTCACTCCCTCCACCTTCCAGGAAGCCATCACCTGCCCTGATGCGGATAAATGGATGGCAGCGATCTTCCTGGAGTGTGAGGCATTCATTCGCAACGACTCCTTTGTCGATGTCCCTCTTCCTGCTGGCGCCAATCTCATCGACGGCAAATGGGTCTTTCGGGTGAAGCAGCTGCCGGGTGAGGAACCAGTGTACAAAGCCCGCTATTGCGCCAAGGGGTTCACGCAGACTTGGGCTGAGGACTACTGGTTCACCTATGCCCCCACCGCCAAACAACCCACCCTCCGCGCCGCCATGGACATTGGTGCGCGTGACGACATGGAAATCGACTCCATGGACGTCTCCAATGCGTTCCTGCAGGGTGACCTGCATGAGCGCATTTTTCTCCGGCGGCCCCCCGGGTTCCACGCAGCCTTTCCTGAGAACACTGTCTGGCAGCTGCGTCGCCCTGTCTACGGCTTGAAGCAGGCACCGCGTGAGTGGCATGCGAAGCTGGCTGCCACCTTGGGGTCTCTTGGCTTCTCTCCTTCCCACTCCGACGCCAGCCTCTTCATCCGCTCCTCCCCCCGCCGCTTCTTCATTCTGGTCTATGTCGACGACATGATCCTGCTCTCTGACACCAAGGCCGACATGGAGCAGGTGAAGCTGTCTCTGCAGCAACGGCTCAAGTGCAAGGACCTTGGCGCCCTCACTAACTACCTCGGTATGGCCATCACCCGCAACCGCCCTGCTCGCACAATCACCCTCTCCCAGTCCCATTACATCGGCCAGGTCTTAGAGAAGTTCGACATGACGCAGGCCAAGCCTGTTTCCACCCCACTCCCCTTTGGTCACCAGCTCGCTCCACCCACCTCCCCCACCTCCTCCACCCACCCCTATGCCGAGCTCGTTGGGCCCTTGATGTACGCAATGATGTGCACCCGCCCCGACCTCGCCTACCCCATCAGCGTGCTCGCTCGCTTTGTCGGCACCGGTCGTCACTCTGAGGAGCACTGGAAAGCTGCCAAACGGGTCCTCCGCTACCTTCGCGGGACCAAGGACCTTGCCCTCACCCTCGGCGGCCCTTCCCGTCCCCTTCTCTCGGGCTTCAGTGACTCTTCATGGGCCGACTCGCAGCCGGACCGCCGCTCCTCCCAGGGCTACGGCTTCACCCTTGGCAGCGGCCTCGTCAGCTGGCGCTCCACCCGCTCCTCCGCCATCTCTCTCTCCACCTGCGAAGCGGAGCTCTACGCCGGCACCATGGCCGCCCAGGAGTCGCGCTGGCTCTGCTTCCTTCTTGCAGAGCTTGGCGCCCCCCAGACATGCCCCACTCTCTGGTGCGACAACGCCAGCACCATCCACCTCACTCAGGACCCCGTCTATCACGCCCGCTCCAAGCACATCGAACTCCGCTACTTCTTCGTTTGCGACCTCGTCCAGAAGGGCCTCATTGCCGTTCGCAAGATTGCGTCCGAGGCCAACTTGGCCGACATCTTCACTAAGGCCCTCCTTCGCCCCGCGCACTCTGCTTTCCTCCGCCTCATTGGCCTTACTCGCCCGGGCGCCCCTTGACTCAGGGGTTGTTCTCTTCTTGTGTTAGCATGCTAAGGGGTTGTGTTAAAATACATTGTGTAGCATGCCAACACATGTGACTGTACGCCAATTGTGGTGTACAGTTGGGTTGGGACTACACCCAACTTTGGGTGTAGTCTTGCACTTTGGGGTGCCAATCCACCCAATTGTGGTGGAGCCCCCAAATGCAACCCTCTTGACTTGTGGGTACCTCACTTCCCACAATTGAGGCTTCCCCAAGCCAAGTGGGCCTAGGGTTGCCTCACTTCTACAAAGTATGGGCAACCCAACCCACTTGACCAATGGTTCCCTCACT